TCATTATATTTTTCAGAAAACATGCCATTATCTCAGGAACTATGATAGCTAGAAAAACGCTGGGAAAAGCAATCGATAGGTTTTGAACTTTACTTTTGATAAGATCATCATCAAAAATGACCTCAGGTCAACGGCTTAGCCTCCAGAGGGCAAAAATTCAAAAAATAGCTGTTTTTAAGAAAAGTGTTTTTCGACAATAGATTTTGACTTAAGAAAGCTAGGTCATTTCTAATGCCAGAATCGTGTTCCTCTCGCCGAGACGCGTCGAATGAACTATAATTTGACCTTGAAAGGTCAGCTTCAAAATTTGACCTCAGGTCAAGGTCATGACCTGACCGGAAAAAGTCATGTTGCATATCAGTCGATGCGTCTCGGCAAGACAAACACAATGAGGCCAACCCCAGCGTTCTACCTTTTTCCAATCGAGAGTTATTGGCAAAAAACTGTTTGTAGCTTCAAATGACCTCGGATGACCTTTCAAGAGGCTATCAGCAAAAAAGACACCTTGGTCGTCACGGGTGGTCCATATCACTGTTATCCTGAAATATTTGGACTGTTCCTATGCGTACACACGGATCTAGAGGCATTTTCGTTTTTCTCTGCATTGACTTATAATGGAAAGGTCACGCCACTGACTTGACCTTAGGTCACGCATATAAAAAATCTGAGATATATACAAATTGTAGGCACCCATAACATCATGTAATCCACCAAGTTTAAAACCTCTCTGACAAACACTGCAGGCTGGACATGCTTGCAAACTTTTTTTTAGGCTTGGTCAGTTAACTTGACCTGGTGACCTGACCTGACATGACCTGGGGTCAAAAATTTCACACATTGTCCAAAATTGATGTACCAAAAGCTATCGGAACCGGCGCGGCGCTACGCGCCGCGGTTTTTTATTTATACGAAAAAAAACGCGACAGGGTGGTAACATATGCCCCCCCCCCCCACTGGGGCGAAGGTTAAAGAAATTACGTGCAGATTTGGTCAAATCAGGTGCATTCGCCGGATAGCCCGTCGCGAAAACGGCTATTATTGTGCGGTGAAGGCTGGAATCCCACTGACTGGCAAAAGGGGTAATGACGGATGAGATTTGTAACGTGTTACGAAACTGAAAAATTATCACTCTCATCGGCACATGGGTGGTGCGATTTACCCATGCAAGTGTATTTATAGCCCGAGAGACCGTGAATGAATATGGAGTCAACGGCACATAGTGCATTCGTTGACCCGCGAGTTGCTGAGGGGGGGGGGGGCACCATTTTTTCGCCGCGCTATAGGTAGCTAAAAAACGGCGAGGCGCGCCAACTTGTGAGAACCTGTAGGGAATAGAGTGCAGTTTATTGTGACGAATTTAGAAAAATCGGTCGGAATTTTTTTTAGATATCGAGGCTGTAGTGACGTCATATTTCTGAGTTTTCGACCGAAAACGGCACATGTTAAAAAAAGTCATATAAAATCACAGGACAGACGTAGAGATTAGACTGCCAATGCAATGAGCATGCAAATAGCTGTCTTCGACTTTTGATTTTTGTTTTACATTTTCCAAAATCTTGAACTGAACCTTGGCAATTTCTCGTGACAACTTCACGACCATGATGCACACACATTTCTTAACCCTCGCTCGTATTGGTATTTTGCCAGCCGCGAACGTATAAGGGGTGGGGGATCCGTTGGAGCCCCCTACCTTGCCGTTTCGCTCCTGATCAAGCTAGAGCTTCGCGGAAAAAAGCGAGCGTGTTGCCCGCGACAGGAGGAAGCCAATGATTCCCAATTTAAAGGTCCTAGGTCATTGGTTGACCTTCGGTCAGGTCAATGACCCTGGACCCAAAGTCGGGAAAATCGGGACCAGTTTGAACGTCGTTAGGTGTAGCTTCTATGGGGTTTTCCAGGGTGCTGATCACGAATATCATGTTAGTTTTGATCACAATTCACAGATGTCTTCATGTATTTAGACCAGGTCAGGTCAGGTCAGGTCAACCGGTAGGGGTCGTGCTGGGTATTCGTAGTAGGTGTCAGCCGCCTCTGACAGCTTTGTAACTTGTTACGAAGGCACCAAAAAAACTTCGTAAATGCTGTTGTTGTTAAACCTCAGCCATCAAAACCTCTTGCTGTACAATGTACAAGATGAATGAAACAAGAATGAAAAACAAGAGATAGGTAGGTACTACCTGAAGTCACGCGGAGAGCCTTGCCCCGGGGCTGGGGTAAAAGGGGGCAAAATGCATAGGCCTAGCGTTTTGCCGATATCTCCCACATGTGCAAAAGCCTTTAGAAAGGAAACTGAGTTGAAATGAAAGACTATTTATTAAGGATCATATTGGCACAGAAAGAATACCTACCTATTTCCAAATTCAAAAATGAGACGTCGGCATCGAGATGTTGGGGTGTCCACTTTGCCCCGGCCTCTCCCACAGCGGCGCGGCGCCGGCATTATGCTCCGTTGTGAGTTTTACATGACCGTTACGCACACTGACTGCTGACGGTGATATGAGAGCCCGGCTGGTGGACCCCAGCGGCGCCGGTGTCCGCCTGGGGCGTTGGATGGGGTCAAGGGAGGTTGATACGTTGATACAACCTCTGGCCGGCCTTCCTTTGTTTTGACGCGGTTTTCAGGTAACCAGCGCCTCCACCATACCTTCCTACAGAAGTTTTACTTTTACCGCTGACGGGGATTTATGCTACAGCAGCATATCGATATCTTTGATGATATCTATACACCACAGTCCGAGTCAGTGGCGGATCCAAGGGGGGTCACATGGGTCATGCCCCCCCCCCCCTTGAGGCCCGGGGGCCCAAAGACCTGCCAGGGGCACCACCGGCCTATCAGGGGTATCACAGTCCTGATAGGGGCACCACAGGACCGCCAGGGGCACCACAGGCCTAGCAGGGACACCACGGGCCTGGTGCCCCTGGGCCCTGACAGGACTGTAACGCCCCTGACAAGCCTGAAGTGTCCCCGGCAGGCACGTGGTGCCCCTGACAGGCCTGAGGCGCCCCTGCAAGGCCGGTGGTGCCCCTGGCAGGCCTGTGGTGTCCATGGCAGGCCTGTGGTGCCCTTGCTAGGCCTCTGGTGCCCCTGACAGGCTTGTAATGCCCCTGGAAGGACTGTGGTGCCCCTGGGCCCTGACAAGCCTGAGGTGCCCGGTCATGACAGGCTCGTGGTGCCCCTGACAGGCCAGTGGTGCCTTGCTAGGCCTGTGGTGCTCCTGGCAGGCCTGTGGTGCCCCTGACAGGCCCAAGGTGCCCCTGCGAGGCCGGTGGTGCCCCTGGCAGACCTCTGGTGCCCCTGGCAGGTCTGTGGTGCCCCTGGCAGGTCTGTGACGCCCCTGGCAGACCTGTGTTGACTGGTGCCCCTGCTAGGTCGCTGGTGCCCCTCACAGACCTGTGGTGCCCCTGGGCCTTGACAAGCCTGAGATGCCTGGCTATGACAGGCTCGTGGTGCCCCTGATAGACCAGTGGTGCCCTTGCTAGGCCTGTAGTGCCCCTGGCAGGCCTGTGGTGCCCTTGCTAAGCCTCTGGTGCCCCTGACAGGCTTGTGGTGCCCCTGGAAGGACTGTGGTGTCCCTGGGCCCTGACAGGCCTGGGGTGCCCATGACAGGCCCGTGGTGCCCTTGCTAGGCCTGTGGTGCCCCTGGCAGGCCTCTGGTGCCCCTGCTACCCCTGCGCCCGGAGATGACTATGGTGCCCCTGAAAAGCCTGAAGTGCCTCTCGACAGGCCCGTGGTGCCCCTGACAGGTCCAAGTTACCCCTGCGAGGTTGGTGGTGCTCCTGGCAGGCCTCCGGTGCCCCTGGTAGGTCTGTGGTGCCCCTGGCAGGCCTGTGTTGACTGGTGCCCCTGCTAGGCCGCTGGTGCCCCTCACAGGCCTGCGGTGCCCCTGGAAGGACTGTGGTGCCCCTGCCCCTAGGGGTTCTCATGGGCCCAACAGGCCCGTTGTGCCCCTGACAGGCCTGTCGTGTACACTTGCTAGACCTGTGGTGCCCCTGCTTCCTGGCAGGCCTGTGGTGCCCCTGGCGGGCCTGTGGCGCCCCTACAAGGCCGTAGGTACCCCTGACAGGTTTGTGGTGTCCCTGGAAGGACTTTGGTGCCCCTGACAAGCCTGAAGTGTCAAGGACAAACCCTTTAGACGCCAGGGTCAAGTTCGTCGGACTGACAACGATTCGCTTACCTGATAACGTTCCTGGGCTGGTAAGTACTCACTACTCAGCGTCCACATCATATATACACATAGCACATTCATATATACTTGCTTACAATTGGTAAATGTGGTTGTGGCTAAGAGTTAAGATACTGACTAAAAATAAAAAATAAAAATAAAAAACCTGAAAATGGGGGCACCACCAAAATGAAGTGGACGAAATCCGTTGAGTTTTTAATTTTGGGTATAAGTAGGGGCACCACTTCGATTCATGACCATCCCCTTGGAGTTTTCCTGGATCCGCCCCTGGTCCGAGTCCATGACCTGAACCGTGACCGCTAGTCGCTCGGGCCCTCAAACTGAGCAGAGCAGTTCGTCGATCCACCACACACCATGTGCCGATACTTTCAAGAGGGACTACCCCTGTACTCGGCCTGGGACTATCCCAGACCCTGGCTCCAGCCAAGGCTGGCCTCAGCAGAAGGCGATCGCGTTTGCTGCGCCATCTACAATACTATCAGCGCCATCGTGCGCTTCTACTGAGAAGCTTTGCAATGGGTGACGGGAGATCAGCTGCAGCTTGGGTGTGATTAATTTCCATGGTTATCTGACGATAACACTGGTTCTGACACGAATTTTTCAGTGACATTTACCGTGATATTGATCTGCGAATAACCTAAACACTGACCCTAGAATGCTTATTCAAGCTAGACTTACAAATGCAGGAGAAACCGGGAGAAACCAAGAGGAGAAACTAGTGCCGAAAAACCTTTGAGTTGGTAGCACCTCAGTTCTGAGTTTTGCTACCAAATGTTGTCGCAAATGGGGGCACTCCTGCAATGCTTGCGACAAAAGCGCAGTTTCTGCGAATCTGCAAGTCTGCAAGAGAATATTTAACTTCAATAAATAAAATAATTCATTTTCAGCCGTAATATCCTGCTCTGCTTACTTGAATCTGAAGATCTTGGCTTTTATTGATTTGAGGTAAGTCAAAATATGATGGATGTCAATGTTTTGTCTGTCTGTCGCTGTTTCATGCGCCAATGCTGAAGCTGCTGCTGCAATCTGACTTTCATGACTGACTTGTGTGTAAATCAGAATTGGAATGCAATTTGAATTAATGACAGATCCCAACTCACCCAAGGGAGGAGGATTGGTTTAAAGTCATGATAAACGTGTGGGGTTTCAAGCGATTACATTGAATTGCCACTATCAACTATCCAATTGATAACTGCTTTTTTTTGGGCAGGAAATTACTGAAACCATGGTCCTGTGTGGGCTAGCATTAAACATAAAATTGGCTCCATCAATGTCTTTATTTTCATCTACATCTAGTACCTTGCACTGTTTTGAAACAATTGAGAAACTATGATGGCGTATTCGTACGCTGGAGCGTGTGCTATTTCCCCCTCCTCATCCTGATCCTGAAGTCCCAAAAAGTTAAGGAAAAAATTACCAACTTTTAAAGTTTTAAAGTTTTTAAACTTTGAAAGTTTTCCTCCCATAGAAAGAAAACCTAACAATTGAGCAATTTGAAAAAAGCTTTAAACTGCATTGCAATTCATATGTTGAGGTGAATTCTGATGATTTTTAGGAAATTGGAGATACTTCTTGGAGAGTTTGCCCCCACATCATCTCAAATCACCTTTCTGGATCAGTCAATTATTTGTTTTGTGACTCGTAATGGTAGGCTATGCTTACTGCATAGCTGCAACTAACCTGCTTGCTAAACACATTGTTTTACCACCTAGATACCAGGCCTGGGACAAATCCCTAATTCAATATAACTTTGACTTGAGCCTTGAGGTGTGCCCACTGAACATAAGACCTTTGAGCTGTCTGTATTTAGTAATCAGTCAGTCTATTAGGTAGTTTGTCTCTAATCCAGTCCAGTGTTGTCCAATGTTTAGTCCTATTGGGAATCCTAATTTTTTTTTCTCATATTTCTTCAGTCTTCACAATCAACAAAACAATATATTGTCAGGTGTTTGCCACCATATCTGTCATGGCTTATCGATAATTGAATGGTGTGCCATCTATGATCTATGTTATGTCTACTGGACATTATGCCATCTCTGTCGTCGTCGTTGTGTATCATTCGTCTGTCAGATACCTCTCAGGCATCTGTCGAACGGTGTGTCGTCACAGCGGCGATCCCGTCAGTACACCTTTTACCGACCCTTTCCCCTCATTGCTGTGTTCCAGAGACACGGTACCGACATGTGACTGCCGTTACCGTTGTCGGGTGGTGTGCTGAACGGACGGATACCTGAGGTGAGTACTGAGTGGGTGCGGTCGCGGAGGGTTCGATTGTGGGGCCAGCTACCGTCTGGTGTCCGCCTGTCAAGTACCGTCGATAAGAATTGATGTGATAGTAGACGGGGTTTCGAAGATGATGATCGATTCAATATAGCTATCGACCGATACTCACCAGTACCATGATGCATAGATGTTATCAGAGTTATTGGATCACTGATAGTTTTTCTAAGTGGCAGTTTCGGATAGGTATAAGGGACATGTCATGTCTGAGATGTAGTTCAGACTCGTCGTTCTGAAGAAGAAGAACTGGAGAAGTGTAAAAGCAGCATGAAACCTCAACGATCTTTTCGATCGTTTTTGATCAACGATCAAACTTTTCTTTTTGGCTTTTTGTTAGTTGTTTGAGTAAATTCACATTAAAAATTCATTAATTTGTAGATAAACTAGTGGGTCTAGATTCGCTATCGTTCTTAATTCTGCTTACAGAGTCGTAAGCAAATAGGCGATTTTCTCGTTTCAAAATAGTCAGTCCTCCTTTCATATAGGTATCCTCAAAAGTAAAAAAGATGGGCAAAGGTAAAACGAATTCCCCAATGGTAGGCGGTGCATGTCAAAGATGCATCAGTCGTTTCAATCTTGTTGGCTTGCAAGCTGACTCAGCTACTCGTATTCCAAAATTTAATTTCTCTAATGCTTTGATTGCATGGTCGCCGCCGTTTGCAGATGTGTTTGATTGTAAGTCCTTACCTATATTTTCTGTTGTGTGTTATTAAGTATGTGGTTATTCGTTTCCTCATGCTGGCGATGAATTTATTCATATCCTGGGGCTGCAAGCATCAGGGTTGTGCTCGGCTCGACTCAAAAAAATTTGCCGACTCGACTCATCATTCAACTTCAGAAAGCCCTGACTCAACTCTTACTCTAACGAGGAGCTGATTTTTGCCCTTGACTCGACTCATGACTCAAGCGGCTCAATGAAAATATGAGTCGACTCAAACTTGACTCAAATTTTTTGTTGAGTCAAGTGAGTTGACTCAAAATTGACTCAATTAAAAAAGTTGTTGAGCGGGGGCGGGGGTGAAAAAATCCGGCAGCAGGGCCAGGGCGAAGTTGTTAAGCGGGGGGGGGGGGATGAAAAGCTTGTTTCTAGAAAGTTGAGTCAGCTGACTCATGTTCCTAAATGTTTGACTCAACTCAATGTCAAAAGTTATTTTACTGACTCAACTCTGACTCAACTCAACGCCTTAATATTTTTGTCCGACTCAACTCTAACTCAACTCAACAGCTCAACATTTTATCCGACTCGACTCAAATCTGACTCATTTGAGTCAGAGTTGAGTCAAATTTCTGACTCGACTCATGAGTCAAGCACAACCCTGGCAAGCATGATTTATGCTTGATGAGCGGTTATTGGGCTCGTTGATACGATGTACATGGGTGGAGAATCGTTTTCAAAGTTGGTGTGGCGCCAGTTGCTTGGAACAATGCTATATAGCAGAAACGTTGACCGCAGCTATAATGCAGTTGCCAAAATATTTTAAAAACATATTAGTATCCAGTGTATTACTTGTCTTCTTTCCTGAAACTCATTGTTCATCATCATTATCATCATCTATTCTTATGTCCATCCATGGTAAATGGCTTTTCGGGACAAAGGTCAAAGAACATTCAAAGATAAAATACACATACGAAAGCTAATAGTAACACTAAAATGCACAACACCCATACGAAACTTTTTATGTTTGTTCATGAAACAAACATTTTTATTTCATATTTTATATTTTCATAAAACTGAAATCCTTAAATTGTATAGTTTTACCCTGAAAAGTTGGCATGGCATTGCCATACCATCTTTCAAGTTGGTGTGGCGCATGCCATACCTGCCATACCACATTCTCCACCCATGACGATGTAACAACATCAAAAAGGGCGTAGCCAGACTTCCGTATGTTTCAAGTCATCAAGCGATACGAAACGGAAGAAATACTCGTTTGTTTTGCGTTTGTCGCGCTTGAAACTTGGATTAGGCTTATGTATGAGCGAAGCCTGGCTTAGAAACAAGTGTAAAAATGGTTATTTCCTTTTTTACCCTCGTTTCAATATTTTTATGCACCTTGACTGCACGGCTGAGTTAGTAAGAATAATGTCAGATCCCAGACTGATTATCGGCATTGATAACATCACTTAATAACGGTGTTGATGCCATCATTTAGATAGGTATGTAATATGAGTAGGCACTATTGGTTCAGACAGACGTCAACATGGGTGCACTATCAAACTGTTTCCACCAGCAGTTACGAATCCGCACTGCGCCACGGCAGAGCGGGTTTACGGGGCTCACTAACTACTGACTGCACTCAGTTGAGCGAGCTGCACTATCAGTCCTGGACTTCCTGGTGTTCGCCGGGAGCCCGTGCGCTGGTCAAAATGTTTGCATGGTAGCTAAATTTTCCACAATTAATTAAATGGGAATGGGAACCCGCGTTTGGTGATTGTTTTTTTTTTTACTATGTTTCTTATTTTATTGTGCCTTTAGAGTTGCGTCACTGGTAGATCCATGGGATGGCCGACGGGAGTATTTGGGGCAGGGGGAAACCCCTCTGCAGTTTCCGAAATCGATGAGACCTTTTTTCTGCTTAACTTATATGATGATAAGACTCTGTATCGAATGGCCCATTAACGCTGAAAAATCAAATCCCCTAGGAGTGTTCGGAACTTTGAAATAGAGAACCTTAAGTTAGTAGTCCCCCGCAGGGTCTTACATTACCTGTCTGTATCTTCCAACGAGTTTCGTGCGAACATGTCTTAATGGTTTTCATATAATCTGTTCATTGTGAAATATCAGTTTGCATGATAACAATAAAATGCCCTCAAACATTGTTTCCTCCAAGGTATGTAACGCTAGCGGTAAATTCTAAGTATTCAAAATGGATTGCATGAGGAATGCAAACTGACAAATGAACGTTAAATCATTTGTTTGATGTAAAATTACATAGGCGTTCGGCGCTGGCTATGGGCGCTTGATATATTTTGCAATAGGGTTTATCATAAATGATAATGTGTCTGGCATACACATTACACGTGTCATGTGATGCCCGCATATGTAAAAGAATAGGCGAGAAGCAGAAAGGCGTACCAATGAAGGCCGCATGAACTTACCGCCAAGTTTGTCGTACCATTACGTCACAGGTATGTATATGGAATGTGAGCTTCTGTGGCAGGTCTCGATCAATGTTACATTGAACTTTGAGTAGGCTAGCAACCCATAAGCCAACCATTTCCAATCAGTCCTGCATGGTGGTGAATTGAATGCACCATCGATCATATTATTAATTAAGAAGATTGCATGCACCGTCTGTAAAGGGCTGATTACTCGCACAAAGTGATTCCGGTTAACCCCCTCCTCTGACCGGGTTTATTGAAACTGAAAATGTGTGACTTGCAAAAGATGTGACTTGCAACACTGGGCTAGCGGTCAGTGTGTAGTGTAAAATGTCAGTTCAAATGTCAGCTTCCCCTCACGTAAATCGATCCTACGTGACAGCTTCCTGCTTCCTACGCCTACCAGTTCCCGGTGTTAACCGTCTACGTGTTTACAGTTTTCACATGTATATTGTGAATGGTCTCAATGCGCTTACGTGTTGTCTTTATCAGATTGTGGGACATCATTCGTGTCCCTCTGACGTCACCCCTGTGTCTCTGACGTCACACCCGTGCCTCTCTGACGTCACACCCGTGTATCTGACGTCACACTCGTATTCACAGGCCGTCCGTAACCAGGGGTTATCTATCCATGGAGCGGGTCGGCGGCGAGATGGCCAGACAGGTAGCGCCTCCGGCGGGGTTTTCTCGCACGTACTGATGACCTCACTGACACCGTGTGCTGCCGAGTGTGTGTGGGGTGCAGCATGTGGGAGTGAGTTCCCTCAGGACAACGCCAGCACTCGCCGCACCGCTTCCTTTACTTCACAGGGACGATAGCCGAGAGTTTACATAGTGGGACTCGCGCAGCTTTGGTGTATGGCTGAACATGTGCGATTTTTAGGGTTGTGTAGCGGACGGAAGGAAGGCTGGGTCACTCGTGGTAGGCTGATTTTGCATTTAAATTTGGTTTATATAAATCACGAGTTAGTAGTTACCACATACCGCCCTCCAGGAACTATTTTTATTATTGCACGGTAACAAGTTGCAGGTTGGGCTTTTTGGCTGATTTTGACCGTGTAATACTTTGCTTTGCTAACTATTGTTACACTGGGTTTGTCATATGTGGTGACTTTGTAAAGCATCATTCGCCAGTGCTTTTGTTTATGTGCTGTCAGTTTTTTAAGATAATATTTTCCCCGGTTATGAAGCTAGGTCAAGAATTTCCTCACGTCAGCTAATTCCATAAATTTCAGACTTCAGATAATACCAACGATGATAAAGCAGATGATTTCCTCTTTCTTATCCATGTGGGAGTCCCAACTGACTGTTTCTGATAATCTTATTCTGATAATTGATTGGCCGGTGCTTCATCGCCGATTGACTGAACAGAGGCCGGCTTCTCCATACAGTGTCTCTATCTGGGTCTGATCGTGAGTGTGCGACTGAGTAGGTACTTTGCTATACCTTTCCTAATTGTAATTCTCAGCCCTTTAGATCTGGGCCAGATAACGGTGCGTCGTTAATTTAGTTCCTTGTTTTGTTTTTGCTGGATACTTTGATGCATCATAGTCACCAATCATAGTCGACTGGTTTGGTCCAGCCTTGAAACATCCTTGAAGTTGCATTATGAAAAAGAACTCGACGATCCAGTTTTTCTTTCTTCGCCTGAATGTGTTATGACGAGCTGCAGTTCAATCTATTGTCTAGCTTGGAGATGGGCCGCTGGCTAATTTCCAGCAGTTACCAGGCCCTGTCACCAGTCAATTATCGCCTTCAGCCGTCTGACGATTGGTGCGTGGATCCCGTGTCCGTTGTGCACGGAAACCGTGCGTTCCGTGCGCTCTGGCACGGGTGAACGCTGAGCATACACGGACATTAATAAATACTGAGCTGTCACGTCTACTGCCGAGTGGAAAAACGGGACGAGATGTGCGCTGTACGCTGTACGCTCAGTCACGTTTGGTTATCGTGCCCTGGCCTGTATTCGTTATTGCATCACAGGGCTCAGTCGTATTCTGTGAGCGAGTGTGGGTTTGGGAGTCTCCTCTCTCCTCCCTTGGCTCTGCCCTCTCTCCCTCTTTTTGTCCGAACCACTGTCGCAAAGACGGTCATTGAGGTCTCCGGGCCGGCGCACCGCCGGCGCCCACTATACTGTGCTTTGGCTGGCAGTGAACATATAGAATAGGAGCATGGCACCAGCACTGAGAGACATAAGATGCGTCCTAAGGCATTGGGCTTCTCGAACGTATCTATAAGCTACTACGGATCAATATATCTGTACCAATGATTGTGAGACTGACGAGTCCATCTGACCCGATCACTGATAGTCCCCTGCTACATCAGTTCAGCGTCAGCATTAATCATGTCCAAATATGTTACACAATCGCGCCTCGCTGGATTTGCGGCTACATCAAACACAGCACGCGTTATATCAAAGGAGCACTCACAGTCTCACTTAGGGGCGCACCGGTCACGTCCAAATAATGAACGTAATGAATAATGATAGCGGTCAGCTAGGATATGTCAATTGTTAAGCTCATTCGGAGCGCTATCTCTGGTTGTTGAATGCAATGGCTCTGTCGCCACCCAAGCCTGGCGAGACTGGTATCTCAGCTAAACAAACCAATATAACAGCCCAACGGGACCAGAATCCAGTCTGGGCGGCGTTATATCTGAGCTGAAATCCACTGGTATCTCAGCTCAGATAAAATAGACGTCCATCTATGCTGTTTAACCAGCGTCCCAGCTGATCGGGTCCTTCTGGCCAGCCGCCCACCTCCAACCGGGCATGGTACACCGTAGAGGTGACGTGACTGCGTTCACGGCCATTGGGCGGCGTCACGGGCGTGACCGGACAGTGTGACGGGCGTGACGGACCGTCACATTGTTCCGGGACCTCAGTGCAAACACAATGGTCCGCGTACCCCGTCGTTACGCGCCTGTGGTCACCCGGTATGTGCTGCAGAGTGGACGCGCCAGGGGTTGGCCTGCGGGTCCGTGCTTGGACCGGCGATATATGTATTTATGTAATTCAAATGGGAAGCTTTCCGTCATAGCGAAGAGTGCAATCGAATTTCACATTGTGGGGCTTGGAAAGATGAAAAATTACTGCACGCAAAAGCGGAGCATTGTGGGAATATGTAAGTAGGCTCCAGCGACAACCGACACAGGCGAGAATCCAGATCCGCTTGTGTGGGTGTAATCCTACCGTTTGGTGCAGTCGCGGTACGGTCGGTCCAGGCGGGTCCGAGTGCTGGACTGGGGGGGGGGGGGGGGGCACGGCTGGGGGCCGCCTCTCGTCGTCGGTTGCGGACGGACCTCGTCGGCAGTCGGTCGGCTGAGCCCGGGGCGGCCGGTGGGTCCGGTACGACCGGTGTGCGTGCCGCGAGAGGTGCTCTGTAGTGGCGGCGATCCACAAGGCCGTCGAATTTCGAAACTGGACGCATTCCGTGTTGGTGTCGAATTGCTTACCCGTCCAGCAGTGCCTTGTGCTCGGGCGGCGCCTACTACAGCCCCTCCAGCAGGGGCAGACTGCTGAGCCGTATAGCGACAGGTGAAGATTGTGAAGGCTGGATCCAGTGAGGACTGATGCTGACCGTTCGTTAGTCGGTCAACTACTGACTGCGCTGATCACTGACCGGTGACTGCTGACCGATTACGGCCGACCTCTGCCTGCTGAGCGCTGCCGACGATCGCTGACGCTGACTATCTACCAGCGCCCTCCATCTGTGCTCTGTGTCTATATCTCACGACGCTCTGTCGATCGCTGACCATCTACTAGTTCCTATATCGGTGTCTTGTGTCAATATCTCATTACCTCCCCGTCGGCTCCGACAGAGCGCGGCCCGGCGGCCGGCCGTCGGCAGCCATGAGCTGTCCGCGCTCTCGGCGTCAGCTGGCCTTCTGCTTGGCCATGCTGCTGCTGCCCTTCTCGCTGATCGTGCTGCTCAACCAGCCAGGTGAGTGCCGTACCGCGTCTAACGAGCAAGGCAGAAACGTGTGTGGATGTAACAATGTTCGGTGATGAACTGTACGCACCTTGAATGTGTTCAGTGCTGCAACGTGTAGTGTCCATCCATGCTTAGAAAGGCAGTGTATAGATCGTCCTTAGGTAGAGCTGCAATCTTAACTCGCCTTGCATCAAGTTCCTTGCACCCCAAGGCTGCTTTGGCGTGTTTAGCCAAATGATTTACCTTTTTATGATTGGTATGCATTGTTGCGAGTGATTCCGATGGTTGTTTTATGGATAAACTAACTATATGAGACAATTATTGTTATTGTTATACTCTTGCTGATATGACAAGTTAATTGCGTAGGTTTATAGTCAGCTGGATGGGGGCATTTTTCAAGGTCAGGTTCAAGTTCATTTATTCACGTTAAATCCACATACCTACATGCGGCTTTTCATTAACGCAATGTCAAGTGATTAAAAAAGGGGGGACGATGTCACAAGCACACCACATGTTCATCATCACAGTGAATCGACATACTGTCAACGTCTTCACGTCTGAGTTTGGAGCAAATGAAGTTTGACAGCTCTCTTAAATGCCATTCGCCCGTCATAAACTGCAGTGAACGCGTTGTATGTGTCCACACCACTATACAGCAGCTGCCTTCGCCCCGCCTCAGTATGTATCCGCGCTAATCGCAGTCTCTGTGCTTTGCGGGTGTCATGTCCGTGGCCTGTCGCGTTTTCAATCTTACACGCGATAGCAGAAGGTTGGCCGGTCTGAACGATGGTCCGCACGTTACATATTCTGTGGTACAGGACTAAGTTTGTAGCGCTGAGCCGCTTCAGCTCATCCAAGACATCGCTCACATGGCAATACTTCCGCCGGCCACTTATAACGCGCGCACAAAAATTTAACACTTGTTGTACCTACCAGGTGAAGCTCAGTGGTGCTGCATGTCCCGTAAATAGATATGCAGTAGCGCAGTGCAGACAATACGAGAGAGGACACGATTGGTATCAGCGTGGACGGCGGTAACACGTTCTTCATGTTGTTTAGCGCCAATATCGATCCCGTGCACTTTGACACGACATGGCTGACAATTGACATGGCCATGATACGTCAGATGTCTGTCAATAACGAGGCCGATATTTTTTGATAGATTCGGACTCGTGAACAATTGCACCGGCGAAGCGAATGCTAGCAGAAGGCAGTCTGTTCAGCATCTGACGTGTTCCGAGTACAATCATTTGAGTTTTTGACGCGTTCACTTTCATGTTGTTTGAGCAAAACCTTGCAAACATTCTCGTCAGAGTCCGCTCCATTCTCAGGATTAGGTCAGCTAAGTCAGCCTTTTTACCAGATACTAAGATCTGAGTGTCATCGGTAAACTGCGCGATCGTGACATCAGGGACGCGGAGACACAGATCGTTTGCGAATATGGAGAACAACAGACAGCTGAGAGATCCCCTTGGAAAACTACGGATTCTATTGGCAGAGACTTTGAAGAATGACAGACCCGTCAGCGCAATGAGCTCTAATCTGTGGGCCTTGGAGATAGTGCCTGAACCATGCGGTGTCTACGTTGTACAGGTAGAAATTTTCTAACATATTTTCATGATTAATCACATCGAAGCATCTTGTTTCTGAGCTAAGTATATAATTTTACGCTTTAGGAACAGAGTCGCTGTGCCCCCACCTCGCCATCATTTTGTAGAGGTGGACCCTTTCTGGTTGACCCGTAGCACACAGCTGCCGGTGTGGGTCGGGTCAGATCAAGTAACACGTGTTTATCGGATGTCGCGCCTGACCGGTCCTGCCCGCCTCCCGAGTCCCGACCGGGCCCGGCGTGGGGGATCCGGTGTGGGGAGCGGCTGGGTCCAGCGTAGTAGTGGGTTTGGCTTGTTGTTTGGTGTGCGGCTCGATGAGTGTGGGAGGAGGTTAGCATGTGGGCGTATGTTTTGGAGCATATCTCTTCAGCCTGTATGCCCACCGAACAATAGACGCTAAGATTTGAGGCCTGCACACTGCACCTGGTGGTCTATCTCTAGCGGCCTGTTATTCCTCATCGAAGACCACAAGCGCACGGATCAGTCAGAGGTAGCAGTCCAAACCGGGCTTTGGACACCTGTAACCACAAGCAGCGACTGTATCACGAAACGAAACAAGGCTGCTGGGCTCCAAAGAACGAGCATTTGGGGACAAAGTCGGTATTAGCCGATCGTACGGCCACCAATACGGATCTTTTTGGTATACTGAACCCCAGCAGATGGTCGTCCCGCTCGCTGGGATCTGTCTTGCCCTCTGGAGTCAACAATCTTTAGATATTGGCCTTGTGCGAGGATCTGCTCTGTTGCAACACAATCCAATGCCGACCAGCTAGGGGCCTGTCTTATCGCTCTGCACCCGTTCAAGATAAACAGATGGGCCGCGTTAAAAACAAGAACTCAGAGCAAAGTAGTGTCTGCGGTTGCTCATTTTTGACATTGAAGGAGAAAGCGGGTGTGATAGTGGTTTGTTCTGTGCCGTAGACCATTTTCTTATGGGGGGGGGGGGGAGGAGGGAGAAGGGAGGCTCGCGCAGCCGCTCTTTTCTATCATTTAGCTCAGTGTCCCAGGTCCCTATCTACGAAGTCTTCACGTCTATAAGATACTGGTTTACACATTATCAGCCCTGCTGGGATCAACATGGTCCAGTTGACGGCTGAAGGGAATGCGGCCCGTCTGAATGCCAATGACCTCACATTGTGGTCACTCAATCATTCGTTACCTAAATAAAGAATTGATTTATATATTTACTGATTAATGGCAGTGGCTATGTTTGTGCTCTTTTCGTCCACATTTGTTTAAGTTTATTATCCACTCTTTTCTCATCACGTAGCTGCATGTAAATTCTGAAGAGTGAGACGAATACGAGCGCTCTACGTAGTTTGTCCGAAATAGAACATGATTATGCTAATACTGCCGTGACATTCACAGAAAGAATGTCATTGACGCAAAAAGCTTCAATGTATTGTTTTGTCCTCCGTTCCCTCACTCAATGAAGCTTTCTTTCAAAAGAATAAGCATTGAGCCGCCTTTGAAAAGCCCTAAATAAGTTGTTTGAACTTTGAAGTAATTGTACGTTACTGCTGAATGATTGCCAGGGATGCTGAATCAGCACGATGAGTGTTCTGTGCCACCTAAAGTCACGTTTTCCCTTGCCTAGTGATGTAAACATCAACCCCATGGACCAGGCCTGTGACCATTCGTGACCTCTTGATGCTGACGTTTACCCCTACATGCTGATCAGGGATGGGGTGCCGGGTGGGGTGGAGACGGCGTGCTCATCACGTTCATCTGCTGACGAATGCTGGCCTCGTAACGCTAACTCACCAAAATTACAAGTAAATTGGCTCTGATTCTGGAAATGCGTCAGACTGAGCGACTGTACTGGGCTGTAATTGGGTAATCTGGGTGACCCGGGAAGGCTATGACTGGGTGACCCAACCTTGCTCTGATTGGTTGACCCGGCCCTGCAGTGATTCGGTGGCCTCGCCTGTACTAACCGGGTGACCTGGCTCAGCGGTGGCTGGGTGACAAGTCCTGTAGTAACTGGGTGACCCGGCCTAACTCTGGCTGCATGACCCGTCCTACCTCTGATTGGGTGACCCGACCCTGCGGTGGTTCGATGACCCGACCTATCGCTGACTGGGTGAGCCGGGCCCACAGCCACAAGGACACACAGCTGAATGGTGGCAGGATCCGGCGGGCCGGGCCAAAATAGACACTTGTCGCCGTAATGGCCGGCCCAGCGGACTTAGCCGCTTCATAAGTGGTGTCGGATCGCTGAGCCCTTACAGGCAGCCGCTGGCCGTTTGCCAAGCTAGGAATAGCCGGCTGAGGGTATTATCCGCATACGTATGATGCTCAAAGTAGGCGATATTTTAAACTTGGAACTGTTTCAGGGCTGGCGGCGACACGGGCTGTAGTTAAAATGGTCCGACTTAAAGTTACCATCTCTATTCTCTGCCAGATTTCACTCTAGCGGGAAGCCAGCAGCTGGCTGAAATGGAATTTGCACCATCTAATTAACAAATCGCGTTATTTGTGAATCTAATGAAGATGGAAGGCGAAGAAGTGCCTACTTCAATTAATTGGAGCAAGGAATTCATCAGCACGCAATTTGTAGAATTATGTTCCGTGCTGCGATTTTTTGGTTGGATTCTCCAAATATTACTTTTTCTACGAAAAAATCATATTTCACGATGTTTTGTTAATATATTCACCTATCCCTCTTCCATCATAACATTTTATCCTAACCCCATCCCACACCTTGCCTGTTCCTTCAGATCCTTCGGACTGTACCGGCAGGGGTCTTCCGTCAGGGAGTGATAAAACAGGTGCGTTTTATCTTTTTCGCAAACGTAGTTTTGATGTGCAGTTGGACATTGTTCTACCTTTATCGACATTCGACACGCCTCTATTTTTATGAAAGTGATAATAATTAAGATCCTAAATAAATGCGAGTTTAAGTCCTGACCTGATCTGCTTGCTCTGTTTGCGCCCTTCGACCTGCGCCCTGACCTGCGCGCTGTGACCCGCGTCCTGACCTGTACCCTGCTCCCCGCGCCCTGACCTGCTCTCTTCGCCCCGCTCCCCGTGCCCCGCACCCTGACTTGCTCTCTCTCTCTGCTTCCCGCTTCTCTGCGTGTTGACCTGGTCACTGCACCACCACCCTGACCTGCTCTCTGTGACCTGGCCGCAGTGGACACCCGGCTGGAACGGACGCTGGTTCAGCAGCTGGCGGAGCTGCGCCAGCGCGTGCAGCACGCCGAGATGACTAACAGGGAGCGACGGAAAGACGTGATGGTGCTTAACAGACAGCTGGACACCTACGGCGCCGCCGCCGGTGAGCGAGAGCAGGGAGACGGGTGCGGTTCGGGGCATAGCTGGGGTACGGGGACGAGGGCGGGGACAGTGAAGCGCCGGCCGGTGTCTTTTTATCAGCACGCTGTCGGTTTTCTCAAGTAAGGAAGCTCATTTTTGGCGTTATTGGGCTCTCATTGGTGAATTATGAACCGCACAGACCGCGTGATTTCGAGCAATGAGAGGCCGAAAAACAACAAGCAGTAGCCTGCTGATTCAAAAACGGCGACCGAACAGCGTCCGGGATAGGTATAAGGATGGAGACAGAAACGAGGATAAGCCTAAGATCGAGGGTGATCGGTGATTATGACGGCGACGGTGAGTCGTGGAGGACTGGAGGAGGACTCGCTTATGACCGTTGAATGCTAGGGGCAGCTCTCTACCCCGAGGGGGGATAGAGGGTTACGATGACGAGCCAGTGATAATGGATGGACGGGGCTAGGAGAGGATTTGACTCTGAGAGTGACGGTGACAATGATTGAGACGGAGAGGCGAGTGTCGGGGTTGACGAAGACGGAGACGGAGACGGAGACGGAGACGGAGACGGAGACGGAGACGGAGACGGGGGACGAAGATGGGTGGGGACGGAGGTGGCTGAATGGTCGGTCCGACTCGGTGGTGACTAGTAAGGTAAATAAAACATAGGAGAGGCTGGGCTGCCTCTACAGCCTGTGGCAAAATTTGGAAATGAAAATAAGTATGCAGTACGGGCGACCTGTAACTTCATCCCAGCTCAGTACTACAAGGGGGGGGGGGGCGGACTACGCCACGCACGCACAAGTCCGAGCCAACCGGCTGTTACATAACCATTGAAAGTGTCTGGCAGGCATATGGATGCATCACACATGTGCGTACTTTTGTCCAAAGTGCAGGAACCATTAGATTGGTCTATTGTTAGTGGCTGACTCAGCGTCTCTGTTTCCGGCCATCTGATTGTGTTGGCAAGCCACGTGCATTGTGCGTGTGGCAATAAATGACATGAGTTTGGTAGGTCTTTATTCACTAATGATTTAAATTAGTTCAATATTTCGCAAGTTGAACTGTTATTTGGTAAAGCTCGGGTCACTATTTAAATATTTGGCATGGGTTAATGAATAAGCCTTGCAATATATATTCCGCTTTTTAGTTGTACTTTGCATTTGAAAATTTAATTATCTTTTCTTCATTTTGACTTGCTATTTTCCCAAATATTTTTGTTATTTATTGCTAGTTTTCCTTCCTTTGTCGAAGTGGTAGCCGCCTACATTTTCGTCGAGCGCTAATGTCGAGCAAGCGCAATGGCTTTGATTCCGTTGTTTTGTGCTGTCTGTGTCGCAATATGTTATCGCCCTGCATTTTCTGTTTCTACCGGTGTTTTTACCTTGTGCAGCTCACCATGCTCAATTAACTTAATCTGCCCTGTGTTTGCCATCATGCTTCCAGTGTTTACCATCACCAAAAGTGGTCGGTATTTGTAGGACAGGTGTGTCGTTGGGCGCTCGATACCCTGGGGATCGGCCCGCTGTGGGTCGGGGGGGGGGGGGGGGTCGTACGACGTGCGTGTGGAGGTATCCGGGTGTTGGGGGCGTGGTCCCCCTGTTGACCTTCAACCGCTGACTCGTTAGTTATTGGTGCTGATGGTGGTGATTGTAGGGGGGGGGGGCGTGAGAGCCGAGGGAGGGCGGGGCTGACGCCAGTGACCCGGGATCGACCAGGCTCCAGTCGACACGTCCCATGCGCTACTACCCAACCCGCCCTACAAATCCTGGCTTAGTACGAGCGCCTCTGACACGCCGTGGGTAGTGCACCACGAGTGCCTCCGACGCGGCGCAGACGGCGCGCCATGGTCGTCTCCGGCGCGCCGGAAATGGAGCTGGCCTGTACTAGCGCCGCTGGGGCTCGGCTGAGCCGCGCTCGATCGAGTGAGAGGAATAAAGCTGCCGCCCAGCCGAGCTCAGCTCCGAAATAAAACGGCGACGGGAGCGGGACGGCGCGGCTGTAACTTCAGCCGTGGCGCGTCAGCGCCCCCTCCCGTCCCACGTCCAAATGTAATTGCTTTTTATAGTTATTAACGAATTAAACCTCAGATCCTATCGAAGGGATACTCCTTAACGAAATTAAATGTTATTGGTGCCACACAATTACGGAAAAAGTGATACTCTGTGTGGGCCATGGCACTGAGCTGTGCTATGTTATTGTCAACCATTGATCGATATGTCGGTACTATGTTGCACGGTGCTCGTCGTGATGTATTGAGGAATTGGAGTAGGTGTCAATCATAGTTGATTGCTACATTTCGGTAGGTGTCAATTGATGTATTGATGCATTGGAGTAGGTGCCAATCATAAGTAATTGCTACATTTCGGTAGTTGTCGTGCGTGTTTTATTGATGGCTTCAAACATGCGATATTTCATTTCCTTATGCTTATGCTGCTAGTCTTGGGAGTAGGATGGTGATAGTAAATTATGTGCTTATTTTATCATTTACTTAATGGGGAGGGTTTAATGTTAAATTGAGCACTGCTATTTATGGTAGCAACAACTTGTGATCAGTGTTTCAAAGAATGTTATCCGCGCGTTCTCCATCTCTGTTCCCATAAATGAATGTTTGAAATGGTCACTCTGAAGAAGCCACAAGAATGAAATGTCAGTCTCTTTTATATAAATTCTGTTTTCCTTCATTTTTCTAAGAATTTTGAGCAAAGTATTTCATCGATCTCACTATAGTTTTATAATTATCAATGAATTAAACCTGAGATCCCATCGAAGGGACGCTCTTTTACTAAATGAATTGTTATTGGTACCACACAGTTACGGAAAAAGCGATACTACGTGTGGGCCATCACCTACCTACTGTGTGTCATCACCTACCTACTGTGTGTGTTGACACAATTATGAGCTACTTATCTGTCGTACCTGTCTGTCCCTTTTCCCAATGCCTTTCGACGAGTAGCTACGGACGACACGTATTGATTCTTCTCATAATCGTGGGATGGACTGTGGGTCCGTGTATATTGGCTGAATACAGATCGACTGAATACAAACGAATTGGGCGGGCGGGCGGCACTGCCACTGTATTGTAGTAATGCGAGGGGCGAGCCTGTTGTTGGCGTGTCGTCGTCATACATGCCGTGAGGCTATTGGCGCAATGGCGCGCATAGCTGGGTAGGTGTATGAATATGTCAGGGCTCACATTGTTTGGCGTTGGTAAAGTCGGGCATTTTTAATTTGTTTCCATTGGAGGTGTTATTTTAGTTTCTTTGATTCTGCATTATTTCGGTAAAAGTGAACCTTTGCGTGTAGCCTGACGGATTAGTTTGCCTACTGTGGCTGGTGCAGTAGGGTTGACATTGATCAGCGCTATGACGCTAGCCCATCTTACGTTGTTTGCTAGTGCGAGTGGCCCTTGCTCGTGTGTTCCTCCCTCATTCATCCCGATGCGTCAGCCCGCCGTCATACGCAATCATATCCGCTGTCGCTGTGCCAACATTGCCAATCTCCTCCCTCAGCTGTGAAAGCGCCGTCCCAGCAGCAGCAGCGGCAGCAGGAGGAGGGACCTCCAGTGCTACCTCCGTCGCAGCAGCAGCTGGCGCAGCTCGCGCCGCCACATGAGCTGAACGACACGACGACCCCGCGAGGTCGGACGGTGCCCGGAGCGCTGCCAGCAGCTGTTTCCGGGGTGCCGCTCACTCATCTGCAGGAGATCAACAGCGATATGGAGGTAGGCAAGCTTGATGTGACACGGGAAGTGCACGATATATAGGACGCGGTGCGGCACTTCTGGGACTTGTCTTAAAATTTAAGCGACTTCCTGTAACATCAATAATTCAAGCTGGCATTCACAGTACCTACTTGTTATGGCCGTGACACCGTCAGCATTTTCCGAAACTTCCAGCAGGCACGTACAGCCCACCGCTAAAGTAATGTAGGGTTTTACCAATCTCAACGATTGGCTTTGACTGGCGATTGTTTAATGCGGAGTGATCGAAAAGAAGATGTCAATAGCTAAAGTTGCAGCTGCAAGGGTGACGATACATATAAGCTACATTCAAAGTTTCATTGTAGTCTGGCTAATCGTTCCTAAGCTTCAGAAGCAGAACATACCCATGACTGAAACCCCACATTACTTCTGCTGTGGACTGTACCTAGGATTTGGCCAAGGGGGGGGGGGGTGGAGGGAACGGAGGAATCCCGGGGGCCTCCCCTCTACAGAGGGCCTCCTTTCTATTGAGAGCCTCTTCTCTAAAGGGGCATCCTCACTACAGAGGACTTCCTACCTACAGAGGGCCTCCTCTCTACTGAGGAGTTAGATGGACCCTAGCGGTCAGACACAGACACTAGCGGCTATTTACAGGAGGCCCAGAAGGACCCTAGCTGTCATGCTGGTCAGAGGGCTCTGATTGTCCTGACGCGATTTTTGGGATTTCCGTGAATTTCGTTCGCCTCGGACGTGATTTTGGCCAACGTAGGCCTTCGGCCCGCGGGGGCCCTGATTCCATCCGGAAGCCCTGAAAACCCCAAGGGGGGAGGCGAGGCGCCCCGTCCGCCGTCTCCCGCCCTGGGTACGTCCCTGACTCCCAGTATTGATGAAATATCGCAGGATGGGGATTTTCAATGTTGAGATAGAAGTGGAAAGTACATGTATGTATTTTGTGGAAAGTGGAAGTTTAAGTGCGAAGTGTATGTATTTTTATTGGATCTCGCTCTTTATCCAAATTGATAGATTGTGTTATACTGCTGCCCGCTCCATATTTCTCCTGACAACTATCCTGTCGGCTCTCACCCAGCCTCTAACCGCTCACCTCTGACCCCACCAGGTGCCCGGTCTTCTCACCTACCTACCGCACCTGCTGGGCCGGCCCGACGCGCTGACACCGGCGCTACACGTCAGTCAGGGTCGGCGGGACGTGACTGTGGTCATGGGACTGCCCACAGTCAAACGTGAGGTGCAAAACTACCTCATATCGACACTGAAAAACCTCATCGACTCTATGTCTGAGTCGGAGAGGCTGGAGACGCTCATTGTTGTCTTCATTGCCGAGGTGAGTGAGTGAGTGAGTGAGTGAGTGAGTGAGTGAGTGAGTGAGTGAGTGAGTGAGTGAGTGAGTGAGTGAGTGAGTGAGTGAGTGAGTGAGTGAGTGAGTGAGTGAGTGAGTGAGTGAGTGAGTGAGTGAGTGAGTGAGTGAGTGAGTGAGTGAGTGAGTGAGTGAGTGAGTGAGTGAGTGAGTGAGTGAGTGAGTGAATCAGTCGAAATTTTTCTGAAAGTTTTAGTAGGCTTTGCAATGTGCTGAAGTCAATACCATATTTTTTTTTTTACCTCGTTTATTTCCCAGGCGTGATGCACTGCTCACCTAAAAGCCTTTTTTGCGGCACTTTGTTAAATTGATTGATGTTTGGTTCTCGTGCCGTTTTCTGTCCCCAGTGACCAAGTAGTTCCACAGCATTGCTGTCAGAATGCGACAACATACGTCATTTGCGTTGTACATTTGCGTGACAAACGTCGGCCTTTTGCCTGTAAATAACCATAAAGCTACATTGCTGAGCACGCAACCTCAAGGCTAAAGGCTCCCTGTCATGCGCCGCACCCGGGCCCGCTGCCCTTCTGTTGGTCTGTTTCTATGACGCTTGGATTAAAGTCCTGTAATTTTTAGTGTGAGATGTGTGTTGGCGCGTTGTCATGGTTTCCTGCGTGTTGAACACAAGCTGGGTGGGGGACTGATAAACTATGAATTTCCAATCTGAAGCGTCCTGTATCGCCGGCTCGTAATGCCGCTATCTTGTTTCAGAAATTCGTAATAAGTCTGGCTAGAATGAGCCGTTCTGCAGTCGCTTCCTGACAACCATTGTTTCTTTTTCTTTGATTGTGATGTTTTTAGCATTGGTGTCCATAGCTACGCCATAGCTGAACCTTGGGTCGTGACTATATTTTTTTCAGCGACGTTCCGAGTGTCGCCGTTGCTATTCTATCGCGTTGTGAAGCGTTTCCCGTCTGTCCGTCCCCTCCACTCCACTGCTTGCATCATAATCTGTTTTCGTTCCCTCAGACGGATGCGGAGTACTGCAGCCGGACGGCACAGGAAATCCAGGACAAGTGAGTGATCACGATAGGCCAACTCTCGGCGTTACACTCAGGGTTCTGTGGCTGTTTGGGAGTGATGAGGTCGGACGTGACTGCTGCGTCGGGCCGGTAGGGAGGCGGGCGTGTTTGGGATACGGTGGTTTACCGCTTGTTTGATTGGCGGGCCTCGCGTGCAGTGCCGTCACACCACCTGGGAAGTTTGTTGTATCGACCCGTGCTGGCCGTAGGCCGGATGCGGCATCACCTGTGCCAAACAGCCGGGCTCGACGCCATCCGATTTCTCGGAGCTCGTCCCTCATCCTTGTTCCGGCTGCTGAAAACCCTCCTCTGTTTTGGTACGTCGCTAGTGCCGCAATACCCCTCACTTCGGTATTATTCCTACATTACCATTACGACAGTCTACCCCCACCAGCGTCTGACGTGGGCACTGGATAGAACAGCGCCCCGATTGTTTCTATGAATGGCCCTGCTCGACCCGTTCCATCAGTCGCCACTACGCTGAGGGACGGCACTGCTGTGTCAATGAGCACCTGCACGAAGCTGTTAGCACCTGCCGGCGATGGTAGTTCCCTCTGAATGAGTTCGCAGCTCTGGCACCTGGTTTTTGGTCGATGAAAAGTCCGCAAAGCTTAAACACCTGCAAGAGGTTTAGCGCGGCAGTGAAGCGGCCGGCGTTTGCGGAATTGATGTGAACCAAACTGAAGCGGCGAGCAAGTCTTTTGATTGATGTGGGCGTGGGGGAACTTTACATTTTGGATAACGGGACAGGATGAATGGAACAGTTTCCGATGTTCGTGCATTGTCAAAAGGGTTGTCGAGGTGACTAGAGCAGTGCTTATAGTTCCTTGTTTTCGATACAACGGCGCTGATGAAGTCGTAGAGACGAAACCGGTACGCCATTCATGTAATTGTTTTTTGATAATTGTATCGTGAATTTCATAAGGTACTCTCAATACAATAGAGCAGTGCTAAATGTTTGCCTCGGTTGGTATGCATGCAAGTTGAAACAATGGCTGGTAGTGGTATTAATTTTACAACTCCCTCCTGCAGTTTGTCCGTCGCTGTCATGTGCTAGAATATGAACGATGGTATGATAAAACGGCGGTGTTTGTGTTTTAGTAACACGTAAAGAATCTGATTAATCTTGCTAGGAATGACGCTTGTCACGGTGTTATACGCTGGTTTACCTTTAGCCATGAAATTTGTAGCAATTACATCCGTTATGGCGGAAATCCTCATCAGTGTATGTGGGAAATTTAGTGATCGAGCAGTCCTTTGTACCGGACAGTTTTATGCTGATCCACTGCGATAACTAGTGCATTCATCGCTCCTATACCGTGAAAAGGCAACTTAGGGATTGAGTGTTGTGTATGACATCACCGTTAGAAAGTACCCTAACGTGCAGTCGGTCGCGCATTCAGTCACATGTGGGAGGCTATTGATCATGCAAGTCCGCTGCTAGCCTACTTCGTGCCACTCAGCATTTTTGCCCCACGAAAGTTTTGTATTCCCTATAGAACCCTATGGAAATGTTCCGTTTGCACACATGGTTGCCATGCAACAGATTGCGTGTGTTGCAACGTTTTGTCTATAGGCCTACTGGACCGTAGTCTTTGACCTTTTTATTCTGCACTGCCGGTGTTTTCATTGAAGGCCGGTGCTTTGAACGTCCATGGTATGTTTTCATCGCTGGCGCTGGAACACTCGGCCAACCGAGAAGGCGGTCGCTGAGCTGGTGTGTCGGTAATCGCTGCTGACCCGGCGCTACGTCCCGCCCCCTCCCTCCATCCCCCTCCCCCCGGTCGGCGGCCCGCTCGCAGTCCCGACATCAGCACAGTACAGGGGCGGGCCGCCACAGCGGTAATAACACGGCTCCCACGGCATTTTTATGGACGGGCGAGCCGCCGGCTGCCGGACGTCCTGCTCGTGAATTGGGCCCGTGAGCTGACGGCCGATCGTGACCGGCGCTCGTGGTCGTGAGCTCGTGACCCGGGGTCAGGATTGGAGTGGCTTAGGGTCACGGGAGGTTGATGAGCAGACCTCAGACCGGAAGACTGGGTTAGTAATATTCCTGCCAGCTGGTCGAAAAGGCCTATGCCTATCGGTTGAGTTGGCTGGTCGAGGGTGAATTGACAGCATGCGTTCTGCATGTAATGCCGGTCGGAGAATTCAGTGCTCAGTGCTTGAGGACTGTTTGATCACAGGGCTCAGGTTGTTGTGACGGGCCCGGATGGCTGACAGTGCGTGTTTTTGGTGGGTGCTATCGAACGCCATACAGTATGCGGGTGACTCTGCTCGACGATGGTCTATAATTTGCGTGTGTACTGTGCTGACCCAGTTTGGTCGAGGTCAATAAGCCAAACAGAATATGTTGCCAGTACCGCCCATTTTGTCCTTCCCCTTTTTACAGAATGGTCGCTCCTTTCCGACCATTCCTATGTGTTGACTGTCGTTACACCAATCATTCCCCATAGATTCCTCCCTTGCTGTCTTTCGGTCACTATCCCCAGTCAACTATTCCTACTGATCTTCCCTTCGACCATCCCTTGTTCCTTGACGGACGGTCCCAACCTCCTTTTTTGTTTTTGCTTGCGATTTCGCTCGGTTATTTTAGAAACTTGTCGTTTCCCCGGCAGGTTTCCGGCCGAGGTAAAGTCGGGTCTGGTGGACATCATCTCCCCGTCTGCCGAGTACTACCCGCCCCGGGACTCTCTGCGCCGCACACTGGACGATCCGCTGGAGCGCGTCCAGTGGCGCACCAAGCAGAACCTCGACTTCGCCTTCCTGATGATGTACTGCCGGCCGCGCGGCGTGTTTTACGTCCAGTTGGAGGATGACATCATGACCAAACCCGGGTGAGTGGGGCGCGGGGAGGGACCGTGAGGTGTGGTCTTGGTGTGATCTTCAGCTGGACGACGTCATGACCAAACTTGGGTGAGCGGGGAGGAGCTGGGACCATGAGCTGTAGAGGGTAGGTTGGATGACGTCATGACCAAACCCGGGTGAGTGGGCGGGGGACTGTGGACAGTGGAGGGTGAGGCTGGATGTTAAGTGAAGTGTGTCGGCGTGAGTAAGCTCGCCCACAACAAACTTGCTTTGTATACATAGAGCTCATTCAATGTTTTTCCTACTCGCATACTAGCTGTCAATTTGTATTTTGAACAATTCTAGATGCGATTGAGTGGAGCTTACTATTTGACATTTTGGCAATGTTCTGACCATGTTTTTCCCCACAGTTATGTAACAAAAATGAAGGAATTCGCTCTTCAAAAGATCTCAGAAAAGAAAGACTGGCTTCTTCTGGACTTCTGTCAACTTGGTTTTATAGGTAAGTTTGGCTCTCGCTTGGTGGCTTCCAGCTACCTATGCCTTGAATTGGATGACACTAGTGGACCGATACTCTGTTAAGTCTTGCACTTAACTAGGCTCGGCTCCCTATTGCGTTGCTTTGCCTTTTTGTCCGTACGACTGCTGTTATGCAACCGCTGCTTGTATGGCACACCTTAGGAAATCGGCTACCTCCAACTGTGTTCTTAACACTATTGGGGGCTGACTTCCGAAGCAGTGACTGATTCGCTATGACTGATTTATGAGTGTCGGACGTTAAATACTGTACTCCACTTCGCGTGACAATCGCAATCAAGGCGATACATTGCTATCCAGCTATCATTCAACTGGCTGGCGTCATGGCCAATGATTGTTTCCATGGTGAAAATATTGGACCTGTTATGTTCTGCTAGTGTTAAACGGTATCCCATTTGTAATGGTATTTGTATTTCGGTTATCGGACGGAGAGTCGATCTGACACTCTTCCTCTTCCTGCTGCATCCATCCTCTCAACCATCCATCTCCCTGATGCAGTTGCTTTATTAGTTAACAATATGTTAGTTAAAAAAGTCACATCCAGCTTCCTCTATAGCTTTGCATTCAAATTGCCAACGAGTTCGTACTATCGGGAAAAGCCGGTGCCCGCTCCGCTGTTATGTGGACTGTTCGTACCACTGCCGTTCAATCCGCTTCCGCCCCCTTCCTTCCCTCCCTCTCCCTCTCCCTCTCTCTCCTCTCCCTCTCCTCTCCTCTCTCTCTCTCTCTCTCTCTCTCTCTCTCTCTCTCTCTCTCTCCTCTATCCCTCTCTCCTCTCTCTCTCGCTCTCGCTCTCTCTCTCTCCTCTCTCTCTCCTCCTCTCCTTCTCCTCTCTCTCCTCTCCTCTCTCCTCTCTCTCTCTCCTCTCTCTCTCTCTCTCTCTCTCTCTCTCTCTCTCTCTCTCTCTCTCTCGTTCGTTTACCGCCTGACACGTGAACCACCGAGCTGCGTGTCACTCCTGTCAGAGCCGTCAGAGCTGTGATGGGCGCGGCTGGGACTGGGGTGACTGTTGAAGGTGGGGCAGGCACGCTGCCATATGTGTCAATGCCGATGGTTTTGACGGATAGATTTGGCGCTACACGGAAATACAAGGGGTGCGTTTTGTAGATGTAAACTAATTTAGTCTTCTTAGTGCTTGTGCAAGGAGCATTTGTATTTTAAAATACTTTGTGAATGACCTCTCCTTGAAATTGTATGTAAGGTAGGACATGTATTTTACCATAGATTGATCCAAATAATTTTTTGAATTATGAAGTTTGAATGTGATTTGACAAAGATCCGTGATCGAAAACTCATCATTTCTGTATTTGACTTTTTGTAAAATATATATCATACCTAACATACAATTTCAAGGGAAGGTCATTCACAAAGTATTGTTAACTAGGTAATTGAGTTGTAATTGAGAAGTGCAGAAGTATTGCAGAAGTAATGGTGGCTTAGTAGTAGGTGAAAAAGACAATAGTATCGGTGCGCCTGTAAATACAAATGAACTAGCAAGGGCTCATTGAATAGAATAGATACTAGGGTTACCCGCGTGCTCCGCAACGCGAAGGGGGGATTTTTTGACCTGTGGGTATTGGGTTCGTCTGTGTCGATTTGGTTGGTATCCACTTCGTTCGATTGCTTTTTGACGGCCAAGCATTTTGTAAGAAAACAAAAAGATACATCGCATCGAGGTGCCCGTGTCGTATTATCATGCGTTCTACTTTAGAATGATTCGAAAACTGGCGTGAAATCTTTTGAGGGCCATCGCAGGGTATGGCCATCGATGAATTTCGCTAAAAATGGCAATGTAATGGTTTGGAACATTTACATTTTTAAGAATACTGTTGCCCGTCATGCAAAAATGAAGAGTGAATATTGGACAGAATTGAATGCTCTTTCCAACGGTGCCATTTTTAATTGCCAGAGATATCAGATCATGGAGCAAAACCCGTGTGATTAATACAGTGACACAAAATTGACAAACACCATTTTCTCCCGTGATTTGCACCACCTTGATTTGGATCAATCAGCTTTTCACAATTTTTATATGAGAGGCGGTACATTTCTCTTGCCAACAGGCGCTGTTCCAATTTGCTCCGTTTAACGGTCACCTAAAAATAAAATCAATTCCAAAATCCTTCAAAAACCGCATTTTTTCAACAAAAGTGCCCTCCCCCGGTGCACGTGGCGCGTGCCATCCCCTGCACCGCACACCATTCAATAGCCCGTTCAATTCTGTACACGATGCTGTTTTCCCAGTGCCGATCGGACCCCTGGTCTCCAAGAAATCGCACCTGGACCGGACCCGTGTCGGCCAAAATTAGCCGTTTTCGCCCGATTTTGCAAGCCGATTTATACATGTAAAGTCTATGACGCAAATTTGCACTTTTTGAGCACGCGCCACACGCTCACTATCAATCCGATCGAGCTGAGACCCCTCAAAGGCACGTCGCGCATCCTTGATCTATAAGTTGTGCAAATTTCACCGGGCTAGGTGCAACGGTCTGGCCTGTAGTCCACGCAAAGCACCACCAAGTCGGGACCTCGGTAACGGACAGACGCACCCTCCTCAAATAGTAATATAGATGCAGTGCAATTAAGGTGAAGCAACGCGCCGATAATGCGTAGCATGGCGAATCACTCAGTTTTATCTGTTTTATGTGACCGGTAAAGGCGGCCGCACACTAGGCCATTCGGCGGGCGACATTCCGCAAAAACGCAATTCCGTAGCGACATTACGCTTTCGTGGACGCCGAATCAGCTGCCGAAACGACAAAATTACCAGCCGACCGGCTGCCAGCCAGCTGTCCGCGGGTAGAGTGCGCATGCGCGCGGACAGCCGCGGAGTTGCGGAAAAAGCTGGACCGGTTCAGCTTTTTCCGCGGCGACGCCGCGGACACCCGAAATTGTGGAACTTAAAACTCACCAACTATTGATGGAGCAGCCGAGAAATAGATTTACTTGATGAAGTATCGTAGCGGCACTTCTTTCCCCATATTAGATTGTTTTATACACTTCATTGGTTATTCTAATAGCAGGTTGCTTGTGCCTCTCCACAATTGTCTTTAGGTTTCTTGCATTTGTCGACAAACACGGTTGTTTACATTAATCACGAGCTTTATTTTTTTGCAACTTCCTCCAGAAATTATGTCAAATTAATAGATATTCAAAACTTTATTGTACAGAAACATAGCATAATCGCATTAAATAAGCAAATATTGTATTTGCTTAAATGTTTTTAGTTTGCATTCGTTTATATTTATCATAAAATATCTCACATAAAGTTCCTGAAAATACTAAGTAGAAAATCGCACCGCCGAATGGTCCTGCTGAGAACAAGCGGAAAGCCGCTGTAGGAATGTCGCCCGCGACATTCCGCTTTTGCGGAATCTCGCCCGCCGAATGGCCCAGTGTGCGGCCGCCTTAAATGATGTTTAGATGTTTTGCTCGGTCGACATCTACATCTCTACCGCTAGGCCTATTGGGCTAGATGTAGAGACATGCCATTCAGATATCGACACCCTAATGTTTATCTTTTCTTTTCAGGGAAACTATTCAAGACCGTGGACCTGTTGCCTCTTATTCATTTTCTGGTGATGTTCAACAACGACAAGCCCTCAGACTGGCTGCTGCTTAACCTCGTGCACACCAAGGTGTGCCGCTTCGACAAAAGTGCTGTAAGTGGTCGTATGCCGTTGCCCCTCTGGCCAGTTTTGCACTGTAGCAGTTCAGTAATTCGGCGAAGTGTGTCTGCCCGCATGACGCTGGCTGGAAGTATGCGAGGTCTTTGGCATCACGCTATGGAAATAGGTATCATCTGGCACCACGATTTAGTGAATGTTTCGCAATTGTGGGCATGCATGTTATTGATCACTTAATTGCTTTTTGACTATACTGGTTCGTATAGCGGTGTGGACATATAACTGTCCATTTTTCTTTACTGGGAGTTATCGTCTTCTGTGCAAAAGGCAGTCATTACTGTCCTTTCGCTATTCCTAACTTGCCGCGCCAACCGTCAGTTCGCATGACCCCATCATGACCCCATGTTGTGCAAGCTCCGAGCTCGCTGACACGCGTCCTGCAGTACGTGGACCTGGGTCGTTTGTCGTCCGTAGAATAGCCTCGCCCTATTGACCGTGCCCGCGGTATGGCGCTGGTTCAGACTGCCACTACCATGGCCTCTGAGGCCCCTGGTCGCGTCGGGCGGCCCGCCGAATATCCATCGACCTGGCTGTCCATGCGGCCGCCTCTGCCTCGTTATTCGAACGGATCGTGTGTGATGATCCTCATAACAAAACTATGGTCGACGAGCGATCGCTGTCGGTAAATGGACCCGCGTTATGTATTCATAACGCCTCTTCTACTGAGCGACGTATGAAAGCGTGGGGCGGTCGGACAGCCATTCGATGGTCGCGCAAATAGCAGTGTCGTCACTGACCGCTGGCACGAATGGGGACATTAATTTCTTATATGTCTGTGACCGCCAGCAATTGCATTTGTTTATGGTAGTTGTTGAGGCCGATAAATAACAATCCTGAATGTGTGGCATCGCGATGGCTTGGCGGGCTTCATTGAAAAAGGCTGATGGCATTGTGGCTTGTGTGTTGTTGGATTTTTCGGATGCTTGCGCTTGAGCTCGTAGGCTATCAAGCGCCTTGATACGAGGCATCCATGCTTTCTTTTAAGCTGTTGTGTGAATGCAAACTGATGTGTTTACGGTTTTGTTTTACAGAAGAAATGTAAGGAGGAAAAGGACAAGGTTTGGCTGCATTACAAACCGTCGCTGTTCCAGCACATTGGTACCCACTCGTCGCTCAAGGGCAAGGTGCAGAAGCTAAAGGTACGTACGCAGACATTCGCGACTAACTCTCCGATGCATGGCTCCGCTGTACTATGGGTCCGTCCTGGCTTCTGGTGCGCCTGCTGTCCTATCCGGTATTTGTGTAACACGGTAAAGTCACGGATGCTGATGATAATGATGATGATTTGTAGTGACAGGGCGCACCAGCAACGAGGCTAAGTCGCAAGGTTACGAGGGAGTGGTATAGGTCAGTGACCAGCTACTGTCGTGATTTTGCACCATTCCGTGGTGTTGATACCGAGTATGTCGAGGCGGCCGAGGCGGGCACTCAGCAGCACTGAACAGGCTCAATGCTGATGAAAATGGAGCGGGGTTACGTGCCCGACAGGGAATGTTTCGACGCTAGCTGCTTTATGGTATGCTTAAGTCGTGTTAACGTTGATGAATTAGGTCGCTGTTGATGAAAAAGCGCCTTCTTATCAGGTCACGGAACACAGTGTCCTCAAGTCATAGCGCGTAACCAGAGAGCCAGCCTGTTTGTTCACGCTATTTTGCGTGCAAGTTTCGTGATGTATGCAACCATCACAACAATTTGAATTAAGTGAAATTGAGTCCAATAGTTAGTCTGGAGAACATGCGCCTTCGAGAATGATGTCGCACTGAATTTATCCCGTGGTATCGACTGGCTCGAAGCTGGCACGGGGCGCGAGGACAAATTCGCTGTGTTTGCCAACTTTAGCTGCAGCTTGGCGTTTATCCCGATCCAACATCTCCCCGAGCCTGCCCTAGGAACTCCACACGGCAGTGACCTGGCCTTAGAACAGTGGTCTGGCATGCAGACTGACAGGGGGCGGGGTGGCAGCGCCGGTTTAGGTCCCTGGCCCATCAGTGTGATGGGGTGCTCGCGTGTCGTGGTCAGGGCGGGCTCGTAGGCACGATATTCCCTGGGGAAGACGGACCGGCCCCGCAGCTGCCACTTCGATGTACATTTGGTACGTACCGAGGCCAAGGTGGCTGTTTTGCGAGGGCTGCGTTGCCCGATGAACATTGCCGGATGAGTGGAAGCTGGCCATAGTGACACCCCTATTCAAATCAGGTGATGCGACTGATGTTAACTGTTTTCGCCCCGTGTCGGTTCTGCCAACGGTGTCCAAACTGGCGGAGCGGGTGGTATGTAATCAACTGGTGGAATATCTTACATTGCATAATGTTATTTGTCCGGAGCAACATGGCTTCCGTAGGGGTCACTCCACGGAGTCTGCTATGCTCGACGCTGTCCAATTCATAATATCGGAAACTGACAAGGGGAAAGTGGTGTCAAATATTGCGGCCGATATCTCCAAAGCCTTTGACAGCGTCGAGCATGGCAGACTCATGGATAAACTAGGTTGGCACGGTGTGGATGGGCACTGGTTTTCCGACTGGCTTGACGGTAGGCGTCAGATAGTAAAAGGGGGGTCACACCTCCTTCCTGTCACCCATGGCGTGGTACAGGGGAGCACTTTGGGAGCAATCTTGTTCTCGTTATTCACTAATGATGTCGCTTCCCATGTCGTTTGCGATAAAATTGTAATGTATGCCGATGACTCGCAATTTCTCAACAGTTTCAACAAAAACGATATGAATAGTCATAAACACAAAGTGGAGGATATGCTCTCCATCGTTCAGAACTGGTATGACCAAAACGGACTTAAAATTAATCCGGCTAAAACCGAAATGATACTTTTTGGCATGCCAAAACAAGGCATTGGTGGCGACATTATGGTGAACTTTGCTGGTGCGCAGGTGCGGCCAGCAATCAAGATGAAAGTGTTAGGCGTCACATTGGACCCCGAGCTGAAGTGGGAGGACCATGTCTCGATGGTGATCCGGAGATCATACGCAACTTTGGCAGGGCTGGCGAAATTTTCCCATTCTTTACCCACCGCAGTTAAAAAGTTCATTGTTGAGGCTCTGGTCTTCCCACATATAGCGTATTGCCTTACTGTTTGGGGTGGGTGCAGGGATGTCCAGCGGAAACGAGTCCAGAAGGTGCTGAATCATGCTGCCCAAATCACTACCTCATCACGGCGCAACGTGCACGTCACACCGTTGTTCGCTGAGCTTAATTGGCAAAAGTTAGACAAACTTATTGTGGAAAAGGATATTCTCACGATTCATAAGATTCTAAAAGACGGAACTTATTCCGCAAATCTAAAAACTCTTGTCGAGTCCCGCGCAGACATATCAGCACGCAGCACCCGGGCCGTTGAAGCTGGGCAGCTCCAGCTACCCAAGGTGCGCACTGAACGTGCCCGGCGCTTCTTTACCTACCGCGCCGTGGCTAGCTGGAATGGAGCGCCACCAGCTGTCCGGGAGGCGCCGACCGTTAGGCAGTGCAGGAAGAATATCAGAGAGAATGCGTTAGTGTGATAGTTTGTGCAATGTTTATATCTTAGGTGTCATTGTTCGTTCGCCTTTTAGGTCGTTTAGTACCGCTCCATTTACTGTCATCTTTTACATATATTTCATGTACCTATTGGATGGTGATTTAGCTTACCTCAACATTTTATAGATGCTGTTATCGTGGTATTTTAATATTCTTATCGTGTTCTTGTATTTACTTTTCTTTTTGTCTTTTTATCTATGCCCGAGATGTGAGATGATTTTCATGTATACTGACACTACAACGTAAAAGCCACTACGTGGATGTTGTAACGAGCCTAAATAAATAAATAAATAAATGCGTTCATATATGATTTATTAGGTGGCGCCGTGTTTGGGTAATTCCTGCACCTTGGCCCGCTGTGGATTTGTAAGTACGGATTTCCTGCTCTTGAGGGGGTCTTTAGCTACTGTAGCACGCACGGTTAGTGCAATATTTCTAATTGGGTGCTATGGAAATGCTGTTGTTATGGAAACTTTGTGCGTTTTCTTATATCCCTGTGCTTCAGGGTGCCTTTATTTAGCATTTTGGACGCGTGAAACACAAATATTAAAGGTAGTGTGCCAGCTTTCTTGGACCGTATGGAGTTAATGGCCCAGATAAGGAGAACCGGATTTTTAGAACTTATCCATACCTTCAAAACTCATGGAAACGTCTTAAATTCTTCAAATTTTGAGTACCCCAGTGCGAAATTCGCCCCGACGGGTTGTCGGTCGTACCCCAACCACATTTCACACCACTATGAACAATAAATGCACACACTGAAATCGCTATTACCGATATGCTCATCCAATCAAGTTTCGATAAACCCGTTCATCATCATCTCCTGCGGTTTCGAACACGCCTGTTAGGTGGCTTCTGATGCTCGTCGAGGTCGGAATTTCCAAATACGCGTGGTGCGTCGGGCCGCGCGCTCTGACTTCGGCCAAGAAAAATGCGTCAGCTGATCATTGTCATTTCTGCCACTTGCGTGTGGTGAAATGGGGTCATAACTTATAAGACGGCTTTTTCATATCAATTATTTTACATAAAATCATATTTCAAACCATAAATAATGTTCGACAGCCAAATAAAAGAAACAATACCAATACGGGCTTACAGTTTAAGGCTCGACATTGTGTTGTCTACGATTAGACAGCTGATAACTCATTCCCGTACGTCGTATGGTCGTAACACTATAATGACCTTTGCTTATTGTCACAAGTGCGCCGCATTCGCGATTGTTGCCCGACGCCTGTTTGCAGGTGAGCCCACTACAGTTGTTATACATATCTAAAAACCGAAAAACTTTTAGGCGAAAAAGGCACTATTCCAGGCCCATTTTTGATTTTTTTTGCGATATTAGGTAAAAACAGAAGCTTCTTATCCTAGGAAAAATAAAATGGGAAATCTTTCAAAGGTGGCACACTACCTTTAATTGTTAATGTTCTCCGCCTAACCTATGCAATAGCCAGTTGAATGAATAACTGTTTACTAATATAGTGATCGAACAACTTAACGCTACATAGGGCACGCGCTCAGGCACGCGGCTGTGCAGAGCCCCTGAAAATACATCCATGCACGTTATAAGCTGTGAACCGTTCCAGCTTAGCTTGGTAGCTGTGTATATAACAACTGCCGGTCCTAGTCTCTGCCTCATACCGCTTGGCTGACCGCTGGTGACCCGCTGACCCGGCGTGACCCCAGGACCGGTCGGGTCCGGCCGCGCCGCCGCCGCTGTCCGCCTCCGAACAGCTGCTCCACCTCAGAATGCTCCAGCGCAGGTCCCGCGCCCGAGAAACGGTGCGGTCCCTCCTGTCTGGCTTGCTTTTGCTGTGTGCTGCTTTGTGATGATTCGCCTGCTCACGCTCTGAATGCTGTGTGATGACGTGCGAGGTGGTCCAAATATCGGTCCTTGCGATGACCCACGTATGATGAACGGTGTGGTGACTTGTGTGTCTTCAAAACTGAGTGAAACTGAGTGCACACTCAAGTAGTCGTAAGGGTGGCTCTGTTTCTGTGCACCTTTGCACTCATATTCCTCACAAAATGATATTATATTTCTGCACAGAAGAGAAAGCTGTATTTTTTACTGCACATAACTCGTTCACCTTCAGCTTTAACGTTCCATGATAAGGTCGACTGACTGCTGGCCCCGAACGTGTAGTTTTGATATTCTACTCACATATTGTCTCAGAGTGATGTTTGACCGCATTGCTGTGTGTTACCTATTTTTATGAACGCGTACTTCTGATTGGTTTGCGGTTTTATATTCAGCACAAAGGCTGTTGCTAGTTGTGTTGCCAAGCAACGCGACCATCACTGACACTGGATACCGGCAACATTGTAATCCAATGGTTCTCGATCCCTGTATAACGTCAACTGTTTTTGATTGGTTGTCATGGTAACCAGAGACGCGTGGCTGGTAAGCAGCTCGGTCAGTAACTGATGAAACTGTCGCACTCGAATTATTGCTGGCCGGTTGGTATTCACCGACGAATGAAGAGCAGAGAGGTCACGGGACCATGCTCCCCATGTTCATGCCAAACTTGTATCAAAATTGTGGATATTAACGTCCCTTTCTGTGGCATGAAAAGGTTGACCTTAAACCTGTGTATAAAAGAAGAACTTATCCAGAATATCCAGATTATATTGTCAATCTGATGTATTTTCGCCATCAGCCTGCTGAATTGTGAAGAATGGCTCAAAAGAAAATGCCAGGGATATGAAGGAAGCTGGTTACCGATGACTGAACTTACCGAATGCGCACCATTTTATTCAAAGCCGTGCTGTTCGTTGCTGATATGCTTAAAACGCTTTCACACCGACAGACTTACATATGCGGTGGCTTAGCGTAACCACTTATACCTCATTTCGACCACAATTTGCGCCATGTTTGAAAAGCAAGGCACGCCAAAATTGACGATTTGAGTGACGCCTTTTTAGCTTTAATTATGCACAACTCTGGTAACGACCAGCAAATTAAGTGTGTGGTCGCTACTAAGGTGTATTCTAAGCCGTAATGCGTGAACTTAGTGCTACCACGGCCCTACTTACTCACATTAGATGACACCAACTTGTCAACCTATATGCTGCTGCGTGGACATTTGCCCATCGATTTTACTGCTGCGTGGACATTTGCCTATCGATTTGAATAGGTATGCTGCTGACTCACTTTTTATATGCATAGCTTCTTGTGCATACATGGTTCCACGTCTTTCAGCGTCGCTCCAATGACCTAATGGCAAGCCTTGCACAGCGGGTTCGAGGGCCTTGTACACCTTGCCATACCGACTACCGAGCCACGCCGTGCCGACCGTGCCGTGTTTTAGGTATTCCCAAGGCGGTATTCCAAAACGCCCGCGCACGGGTGTCGCTGCGCACTGGACGTGCCACTCAATAGCTGCCGTTGGTGGATGTCAGGGTTACATTTAAACGAGCTGCTGCCGCGCCGGCCGAATTGCCGGCTCACATGCTCACGCTTTATAGCTTTTAAGTGTCCTAGTGCCCGATGGGAGGTTTCCTTCACTCAGTGTGCTGGGTATTTTTGTCGGGGTTAACCCTCGCCGGACCTATTGGTTTTCTACATACGCGCCGGCCGGGGGGGGTACGACCCCCTCGCCGTTTCGCCCCTGGTGGAGCTAACGCGTCGCGGAAAAAGCGAGCGTGTGCGCCGTTACGAGACGCAGAGATTGGTACCCGATTTTAAGGTCCTAGGTCAACCGGTGACCTCTGAGGTCAGGTCAAGTGCGCCAAGGTACGGTTCAGTTTTTGGTGAATAACTTCGCAAAAACGGCCACAGAGACGCGATTTTGGCAGCATCGTGTTCGCCTCGCTCAGGCGCGTCGAATGATATACTTTTTTGTTCGGATCAGGTCAACTTAGGGTGTTTACCTCAGGTCACGGTCAGGTCAGCACCCCCAGGTCACGAAGTTGGTCGAAAGAGGTCATGTCGCCATATCATTCGATTCGGCAGGTCTTCCTGAGTCCATTGGTGGCTTTTCCACATAGCTGGCTCAATTTGCTCGGGAGTTATTGACGAAAAACTAATATGACCTTGATGACGTCATAAATGACGTCACGCAAGGTCAACAAGGCAAAAGTGAGGCATCTAACCTTGGAAGCAAGGAGTGCATCAAATCACGATTCTGTGTGCTTGAGATAGTTGGAGGTCGTTCCCGATGCCAGAATAGCAGTTTTCATTTTTCCCCATTGACTTATAATGGTGAGGTCACGAAAATGACCTGACCTCATATGACCTTTAGGAAAAATCCGAGATATACAAGTTGTGAGACTCGTAATGGATACTAGATCCTGAAAGTTTCATTTCCCTGTGAAAGCTCCTCTGGCAGTGAGGGCGTTGCGCAGTTGCCACATCTGGAGGTCGTGCAGAGGTTCACTTATGACGCCATAGGTCCGTGACCTGACCTGACCCGAAAATGCGGTTGGTGTCAAAAGATCTGGCTTGAATCAAAGGTCAGGTATGCCAAGTTTCAGCTCTCTATCGCCAGCGTGTGCGGAGCTATAACGAAAAAAAACCTGGGGGGCGCCCCCCCCGGCTGGCGAGGGTTAACCCGCGCCCCGCTGGGCTATTCAGCCATACGCGCCCTGCTGGGGGGGGGGGGGCAGATTCTGCCCCCCCCTGTCTAACTTCCGAACCGATGGTCGTAGAAAGAGGGGAAAACGGCAATCGAAAGCTCTCAACAAGGCGGATCTTAAGAGCCCAAATTTTTTTGCTTAAGTAGGTCAGAGGTCAGGTCAAGGTCAGGTCAAGGGTACAAAATGCAAGTTTCTACAGTATCGGCCTTGCACCGTAGTTGCCGAAGAATGGGCTGAGACTGATTGCCCAAAACGTGTTCTTAGACTACCAAGACAATATTCGTTGCACACAATGTCATTCAAAGGTCAAGGTCAAGGTCAGGTCAGGTCAGGTCAGGTCACCAAAAACAAAATATAGAAAAGGGCATGTGCGACACATGTTTTATGGGTCATTTTACTCATGGAATTCAATAGGCACACTCAATAAGTGATATGGACCACCTCTGGATGAATTTCAGGTCGAGGTCAGGTCAAGGTCAGGTCAAGTGAGGTCAAATTTTGAAGTTGGTTGTTAAGGCCTAAAAAGGTGTCTATCCGATGCAGTTTTTCACGGCGAATCGAATGGTGGTATTTTTGTTTCTGTACGAGGTCTAGAACTTCCAAAAAAATCATTTTTCATTTTTTTTGTGTGTCATGACGTCATAAAATTTTGAATAACTTCCACATTTTTGAACCGATTCTTCTAAAAATTGGTATGTAGGTGCACATAGACCACTTCTTTGACATATATTCCGGTTTTTTCGATAAACTCAAAATTTTGGATTTTATAAATATTTTCCCAAAAAAGTCAGTTTTTTGGAAAAAAATTTGGCCAAAATTCAAAATTTTCAAAAAACCGAGATAGCCATTTGATAGACAAAGTAGAATCACGTATAACCTTTTTTGTTACGTCTTGATTCCTTTAAAACTGAAGATGTTAGCGGCGTTTGAAATTTTGCCGTTTTTGAGGCGAAAATGGCGAACATGACGTCACTAAAACGTCAATTTCTCAAAAATTTTCCGACGATTTCGCTCAAATTTTCAGGGAATGTGTCAAATTGATGTATGATAAGGTACTGAAAGTTTGACGTCGCTGGCGTAACGCGTTTAGAAGTTATTGGCGAAAAACGGGAGGGGGGCAGATTCTGCCCCCCCCCAGCGGGGCGCGGGTTAAGTGATTGGCACATGACATCTGATTTTGTATCGACAGGACAAGCAGTTTGGAAAGGTGAAGATGTTCAAGGCGCATAGCAACCCGCCGGCCAGGGTGGTCTGTGACATAAAGCCACACAAGCAGTATACTCTGGAGGTAAGTGGGAGCACATGGACGGAATAAAAAGGTACTTACCAAAAAACTCTGGAGGTAGTGTTGTGAAACGTGATCACTTGGGAAAGATTGGAGTGTTCATCGCCCGTCGTGCATCGCTCGGGATAGTAGGGACAGTTTTAAACACCTTGGATACGACTATGTAATTCCGTTACCTATTAAATACTAGTTGCTACTCCAATTGTCTATTTATGGAAGGTTCTTAAATACGTCCTATAGATATTACGGACCCGATTTAAGAACCTAGCTCTCAGCTAAAGTCGTCTTCCCTCTGAGTCTTCCCTCCCCCGAGATAGCCTATTGCTCACCCTGCCCCTCTCTCGGCGCACAGAGGGCGTACCGGGGAGAGACGTACTTCTGGGGACTGTTACCGCAGCCCGGGGACCACCTGGAGTTTCACCTCACGCCGCCGGTTACACTCACCGGGTAGGTAGCGCCGTCAGATTGCGCTGAAAACACTCTGCCGGTGGGGTCGGGATAGGGCGGAGAAAATGTGCTTGATGTTTGATACATGCGTTTACCAATTGTGTTTTTCCTTGTGAAGCTTACTGGTCAGGTGTGTATTGCCTTGTATTGCCTTATCAAGCGACTTGACTTGTATTGAAGCGACTTGTATTGCCTTATCAAGCGACTTGACTCATATTGAATAATTGAAGCGACTTGTATTGCCTTATTAAGCGACTTGAATTGTATTGAAGCGACTTGTATTGCCTTAACCCGCGCCCCACTGGGGTCTGTGTATAACACGCCCTACTGGGGGGGGGGGGGGGCTATTCATAGCCCCCCTCCTAACTCCGAAACTACTGGGCCGATCGTCAAAATTCAAACGGCGTCTGATAGCCCCGGAAAAACTGTCGAGCGAAACCTAATTTCATTGACCTCGAGGTCACCGATGACGTCACAGGTCAGGTCAAAGTAAAAATTATTAGCACTTTGGCTTGTTCACATTTTGGGCTCTGGCCGCCGTCTTACAAGTCAGGTCAGGCTCATTTTTGGTTTCCACACTCGTGAACAGATGCTCTAGATACCTTGAGGGTACCAAACTTGTACTTTGATTTTCAGGTCAGGGTCAGGTCATCACAGGTCACGAAAATATTATATCATGCGTCGGTCACGTGACACATGTTTTATGGTCCATTTAGGCCATAGATTTCGAATTTGATGTCGTCTGTGTCATTCGAGGTCATTTTGAGTCGAATTTAGCTTAGGTCAGGTCACTTTCAGGTCAAAAAAGGTCAAATTTTGAAGTTAAAATTTTTCAACAAAAAGGTGTCTATTGGATGCAGTTTGAGCTCAGGAACACGATGGTGCCATTTATATTGGTGTACGATGTCAAATACGTTCTGAAAAAGTGATTTGAAAAATTAATAATTGTGAATTTTTTGCAATAATGCGTATAACTTGGCCATTTTTGAAGATATTTAGCTAAAACTTGCTAGAGTTAGTCATAATCATGCGTTCTGTCACATATATTCCGGTTTTTTCGAAAAGTCAAAAACTTTTTGAAAAAATATAAAAATATAAATTTTGAATATTATTATATAAAGTTTTCGAAATTTTCAAAATTTTGAAAATCCGAGATAGCAGTTTGATAGCGCGGTCAATTCTGAATCCTTTCATGCAAAGAAATTGGATCTAGCTTAAAAACTGAGCTCTTGAGCGATTGCCGTGGTTCAATGTTTTGCGTCGAAATCGGACGAACATGATGTCACTCTGACGTCATTTCCGGCCGACCTATGGTAGCTACGAAGTTCAAATTTTGACACAAGGTGTCGAATTGATGCAGCCGAAGGTACTGAAAGTTTGGCGTCGTCGATACGTCAAGCGGTTTGGAAGTTATTGCAGAAAAACGGGGGGGGGGCTATAAATAGCCCCCCCCCCAGTGGGGCGCGGGTTAATTAACAAGCGCGGGAAACATCAGTGAAGTTGTTGACTTTTATCCGTCAGTATATTGACTTGTTCATGGACTGTGAATGAATCTGACCCTCCCTGAACTCCGTTTCAGCTTCATGTTTCAGAGTGGCAATGTGGAGCACCCCTCTGATCGCTTCTACAACACCACTGTTGAGATTGTGCCGGCGTTAGCCGACCACGAGCTACTTAAGCGGTACAAAACTACTTCAGACGGATACGCAATAATTGGTAAGTCATATCTACGTGTAGATAACTTATCACCGAATTAGTTTAGTGACGAAGGCTAATCTTAAACCCCACGCTATGAATCCACCCCACCTAGCACTGGTCTCGCTATCATTGCCTCTGCACTGCATGTCGCTCACATTTCAATTACTAAGTAACGAATCCTGTACTAGCATCCCTCGTAACCACTTTCAACTCACGAATGCTCCAACTCAGAGCTGACTGGCCCGGCAGCTGTAGGCAGTAAACTCCACGCCCGCTCTGTGAGTCGCAGTAAAGCACACCGATCTCCCTCGGAATATGACCCGCCCGCTCACCGGCGCGTATCCGGTGTCCTTTCAGGTCAGTTTGACGACCAGGGGGTGGCGGCCGGCTCGCTGGATCCCACGGGGGGCCGATCCGCTCTCTGAGGCTCGCCGTCCAGGCAGAGAGCGACAACTGGGTCATACTTAGTGAGGTGAGTGTAAAAATGGCTTTGTCTGAGACAGCCAGCTAAAAGAACTGTCCCTCAGTGAAGTCAGTGCATTAATCCTAAATATGTCGCATTTCTCGCATTCCATAGCAAATACCTACGTAGAATTTACCCTCTTCTTTATTGATGCATTGTATCATGTGCCATTTTAGCACTGTAAGTAGTTTGTCCAGCCATCGGATTGGTCGAGACGGCGTGGTCGCTGGTCTAGGCTTCTGCTGCGGCTGTACTATCCCCTTTCAATGAGCCGTTCCATATCGGCAGATTCACCTGAAGAGGAGCTAGTGACGCTGGAGCTCGGCGGAGCCGCCAACCCTCTGCTCAACTGCGCCAGCCGCCCCGCGCCGCGCCGCTCGAACAGTGCCTCGCGCGGCAGTGACGGTATCGGGGACGGTGCGGAACCAGTGATAGTGACTGCGTCCAAGGGCCGTCCCGGCGAGCCCAGTGAATACACGTGCCTATAGACGGGACGGGTGGGGGCAGTTCAGTACCTGCGGTGAGAGAATACGTACCGGCCACACACCCGCGCGCGTTGTTGAGTGTTCGCCAGTTTATTGGAAACGTTCTAACTAGTCGTTGGTTAACAGTACGAAGTATTTAAGACTGCAATAGACTCTATAATAGGGAGATGGATAAATGGTTTGTGGAACCATTAGCATATTGGTTGTTCCATCCGCCTGTTTACTTTTATCTCGCCGTTGACATGAGTGAAAGGTGGTGCGTTTTTACGTAGCTAGATCCGCTTAATGGAGGCGCTGTCTATTCGTGAGCCGCTTTATAAAAGCCAGTGTACGTCAGTGCGACAATAACCGTCTCACCAAAACGAAGCTGCGCGTCTGTTGTCTGGGGTCCGAGTTTCCGCGAATGTCTGAGAGCTTACGTGTGACTGTGCCTGCCTGTTGCGGCCGGTAGGTGTGTTGGGCGTCTGTGGTGGCAGGATACTGCCGCTGTCTTGATCCAATCATTCCTCAGTGTCCCGCAGCAAAGCCAACAGCGAAATCATTCCTACGGTGCGGCGCGCGAGTCTTTCCTTCGTACTTAGTGACGCGAGGATGTGAAAGGTGCAGCTGCTGTGGTGTTGCTGCGCTGTATGAGGCTAACAATTACGATGGTTGTTGCGTGTTGGAGTGGTGCGCGTAGTTGGTTGTCTGGTGGCGTTAGCGTCGGTTCCGCCGAGTGCCATAGTGTCCAGGGGTGTCTCGTCCAGGGGGAGGTAGGCCCGGCTCACGCCACCCGTATGTGCCTCGAATACAGCTGCCCAGTTCTTGTTACTGTCGCGTGAAGGTGATGAACTGCAGGAGAGGACTCGGAATTTGCTGAGAAGCTGTGGGCGATGAAGGTTTTTTAAGTATAGTTCAAATGTTTGACTGGGCAGCTTACTGCGAGGGCCCCCAACTGGCCGCGGCCGCTGTCACCAACTGAGCTACGGTGTCACCAATCCCCGACCATCCCCGTCAGGGATCTCGCAATGCCGAGCGCGGAAGCGGCTCGAACCCGGGCTCCCGCCGCCGGGAATCCCACGCTCGACCAACTGAGCTACGGTGGAATCCCACGCTCTACAAACTGAGCTACGGGAAGGCCTCTACCAGTCACATTCTGCTCTTCCGGTCTAACCAACTCTACTGCTAGAAAGCTCGTGTATTAAATCACTGTTAATTACCAACTATTATATAAAATCACATTCACTCACACAATTATCTCAGTTGTCAGTGGATGAGATAATCCAACATAAGGACACCACGGTCTATCCACACAGGCCCTCAAACGGGACATAGCAGCCTGCTGCTCCCCAAATGGCAAGCTCTGAACCAGTGCCTGTGTCTAATGCCACCCATTCATTTGGCAAGACTGCAGCCGTCTATTGCCAGTCCAATCTCTTTTTCATGTTCCATCACAGTGAGTCGGCATTCAATATCGTCTATCACAATCACATACATGCATCAGCGGGACATGCAATCGATCGTTTCAAACGGCTCAGTGTATGGTATTGACACAGCGTTGATCACTGAACTCCAACATGGACCCAGAACTCGTTAGTAAAGCATCCGCACAACTTGGGGGTGCCCGCAGTTCAATTGCAGAAAGCACAATGGTCTCACAAACACACCGTTTGGCCTCTATCAAAAAAGTAACGTACGACAGCATCGGTCCACCGTTCGCTTTCACCGTGCGACCAACAGTGACCAACAGTTAACGTTGACCCCCGAGGTCAGTGTTGGTTGACCTCCGGTCGAGTTGCCGCGGGTAGTACAGAGATCATTCCGGCTCGACAGCGCTAGGCTGTCCTCTCAGCTCTGGTCCAGCCAGGTAGGTCCTAAAGGTTATACATTGTAAGCTGTGCTTGTATAAATACAAGCACAGCTCGCGGAAAATAGTAGCGGACAGCAGCAGCTGGCGTCGTTATGGATAGAGCTGTTAAACAGAATGTGTGTGTGGCTGAAACCGCAGATGGCTATTGGTACGAGTTTCCCGATTGCATTTGATGCGCGCAAAAGCTGCACTTTCGCGGTATGCCCATAGTCCCGTTGCTAGTGACAAAAGCCAGCATATGAATGTCAATCGCAAGAGATCATGATTTACAAGATAGAGCGTCATAATGTAAATGAGTTGTTCTTGAATCGGTGGCTTCGAAACGCAAGTACACGACTGCTAAAAATAAGCAAACGAATTGATTCAGATGAAGGGTAGATGATGCCTACAAAAAGCGCGCATATAAATCACTAACAAAGCATGCAGACATTCTACATAGTATTCAACACCAATGAGCTTTCCCTCGGTGATCTTGCCAACTCAGTACCACACTACTATTTCTCGGCTTTGGTAGCAAGAGCCACTGCAGTCTTGCAATCATCATCTTAGCGATCGCATTGCTTCTATTCACAGTGGCTAACCAGCGCCCCGTTTTCTTCTCTGGTATGACGCTTTTCGTGTGATAAATCGACGTCTTTCGTCCTTCCAAAGTGTGCGGTGTAACGCTAACGACCGTCTCCACTAGACGGTACTCTCCTCCAGCAGGGCCGGCGCCGGTGGAGCGGCCAGTAGCTGCTGCCGCGCCTCCGCTGACTCACACTCTGCCCGCAGTCTGCCGACAGAAGGGCGGTGTCACGGGGTGAGGGGGCTGGAGGGGTGTAAAACAGTGCCACGGGAGAGGCGATCGGCCGAGTTAGAACGGTGTCAAAGGGGTGGCGACGGGTGGGGTTTTAGGACGGTGACACTCTGGTGATTTGAGTTGGAACAATAGTTTATTGAGAGTAACATTGAAACAGCGAGTGTTATGGGGCATGGTAGAGCGGCGCTCGACGGCTGACCTGGAGCGGCGGTGGGTTGGAGTTAGAACGGCGTCATAGGATTGGAAGTGATGCAAAACGATGTCACAGGAGGAGTGGTACATGGAATGGTTTAAATAAGAACGGCACGGGCCAAAGCGACATTTTATAAGGGTGTCACACCAGGGAGCAGTGTTGAACGGTGCCACGGAACGGGGAGTGATGTTAGAACGGTGTCACGGACTGGTAAAGATAACGGGAACATTGCTCTATCCGGGCATTTATGATTCAGATACAAATCTTGAATGAGCATAAAAAACTCGTCACTAATTTGAGTGACAAATGAAACACCAACACGGAAAAACCACAACGGCCTCACTGTGCATGATACAGTAACCAGTCAGCCATCACATAGCGGAGCTAGTACAGGAGTGCTGATAAAGAATCTGTAAGAATATGCAAAAGAATCCCCAACTCAGTGTCATATTCATGGGGACGGAATTTAATCAAGTAGTCCAAGTAACGTATGCACAGTGCACACCAATCATGCATAACAGTCTTGCCCGACTTTCTAACTCATGGTGGAAATCAATAAAACACATGCAGGCGAATATTTAAACGAATACAGCCGAATATTTAATACGGACGGCCGTCCCGGTCAGAAAGCCGTCCGTACCAGGACGGCTGTCCGACCTAGAAGCCGGTTTCAAAGATTTCGAAAGATATCACTTCGAATACGAGTTACAACGCACACGAGTACGCCGCTCATATGGGTACACTGAAAGAACCTTCAAAGTGGATCATATTTCCATGCACTGCCCAAGGGGTTCACTACACGGGAGGTAATGCGTGCACTTCTACGTGGTTAGTCCTAGCTACATATCGTGAAGCCAAAATAGGGGAGAGTGGGGCAAAGCGGCCACCCTAACGTTTCTAACGATGCCGACGCTTGATTTTTAAACTTGGAAAGATTCTTTCTATATCAATGTGATCCCTATTAAATTGTTTTTATTCCAACTGCGTTTCATTTCTAAAGGCGTTCACATATGGGAGATATTGACAAAACTTTAAACCTATAGCATATTGGCCACTTTGCCCCATCCCTGAGGCAAAGCGGCCACTGGCGACTTCTCAAGTCCCGATATGAGAAACAGAATAGTTGCCTCATGCACGACTAGGGTATTTGATGGTGACAAGGTTTAAGGGAAGATGGATGTTTACTTTGTTATCTTCCCACCTATTGCTAAACAAAGAAAGAATTTTCTTGGAAAAACATTTAATTGCATAATTTGGTAACTCATGTAACCGAAAAGTGGCCAAGATGAATGCATGACGACACTTTGAATATAAATAATGTTTTTATCCAGATGGAAACAACTTATGGCCAATTGGGGGCTGGCCACTTTGCCCCGGCCGCTTTGCCCCGCGCATACCGTCCGAGACAAAAATACTCCAGCTCAGCTATTAGTGGGGTAAAAAGCATTAAAATTGGTAGAAGGCATGTACGATAACCACGCAATGCATGGACAAAAACGCTTATAAAATTCCAAACGGTTATGGAATAAAATAACATTTAAAAATTGTAAACATAATTGGTAACCTGGCAGGAAATGCTTTTCCGTGTTTCACAGAACAATGGCGATGGGCCTGAAACCCCGGTCTGGCTCATTCGAACGACCGCAAAGAGAAGTATAATTGGAAAATAAATTGGAACTGACGCCAGCTGTGGAGGGCTAAAACGATGGATGGCCGCTTTGCCCGGGTGGCCGCTTTGCCCCACTCTCCCCTACGTATCCAATGCCTGTTAGCTAATAGCCTATTTCCATTATACATCTGTGCTCGCTGGATATCCATTTCAACTTACGCTTGTCCGAACCAAGTCAAAGATCCTATAAACAGCCGGAGAAACAACGGGTAAATGACATTGCCGAGATGATTGGAAGTG